ATAAATTTAGGACGTGCACCTGGTAGGGGATTGTATATTATCTCCACAGGCAGAGAGGAGTCTGGCGAGCAAATAGAAACACCACCCACCGCTGCTGTGTGTGTCCTTTGGGGAATGTGTGGGGACAGCCCAGTCTGAGATGAAAAATCCCCTTCCCATCATACCTTGGTGTGTGTGTGTGTGTGTGTGTGTGTGTGTGCGTGTGTGCGTGTGTGCGTGTGTGCGTGTGTGCGCACCTGCTGCTATTAAATAGGTCACATCCTCTTGCCTTTCGCAGCAGTGAGTTGAAGTATGAGTGAGCGAGAGGTAGCTGATCAATCCCCGGTGCTGTCATCCCTGACTTCTCCTGCATTCTCTGTTCATTTCCCATTTATTCTGTCAACACTCTATACATTCCCTTCAAACTGTCCACTCTTCACTGTCCCTCTCTCTCTCTCTGCCTCTTATCGATCTATTGATTGATCAGTCAGTCTCTATAGCTATCTCACTGGTTAATCTCTCACTCCCTTTTCTTTGCTTTCATGCCTTTATTTCATTGTACCAGGGGAGGAAGCAAGTATATGATGACGAATGGAGCAACTTTGGGCCAGAATGCTACCTCGAGTTGCTAGGACATATTTATCTTTCCTACAGCTCTCGGTGTCCCTACATGTGTGAGGAGGCACTTCTATTCCTGTAAACTGTGCCAGACACTTACGCAAACATTGCTGTTGCACTTGCAATTTTTAGAGTAAGCAACAACTCCTCACCTGTTCCTCTGTACGTTTACAACAATTGTTTTCCGCTCCAAGAAGTAGAATGGCAGACCTAAATGCATACATCATCTGTTGATGCTGGGGAGAGAAAGTTTCTATTTTCTGTTGTTGTTCCAAATGCACCATAGTGTCTTGATTTTTTATTAAACACTCCACCCCATAGAATATGAAAACTTCATCACCCAACTGTCCGAAGTTACTGATATGAACTTTATTGCTATGTTGTCCACATAAACACACTTACAAACACAACAACAAATAAGAATGCCCTTAAATCCAGTGTGTGCCCTCACTTTACCTTTACCTCTACCTCTGAACCCATGTGTTGCAGGATTGGCTTACAGAGAGCGCCAGGTTCATCTCCAAGTCTGGCCACACCGTGGAGTGGATGACACCCCTGGGTTTACCCATCATTCAGCCCTACCACCAAACACGCAGCCAAGTGGTAAGTCTCCTCGTAAGGCATGTGTGGTGGTACAGTTATAATAAAATTTATTTATCTCTGTGTAGGATTAATTGTTTGGACATACTCCACTTTCTGTCAGCCATTGCACTGCAGAGCTTCTGCATGATTTCACACATAATTTCACACGCATTTTCAAGGAGAGGTTTAAGTTTTTGTGCTATTTCTGTAGCTGCTTTTGTAAAATTGGTATTAGAATTAATGTCAGTTGACGCTGGGCTTTTACCTCTTTGGCTTATCTTTATGCTGTGCGCCACACCCATTACAGGCCCGTCCTTACTTCTGTATTTTCAGAATTTACCAGCTGGCCTTTCGAAAGTTCTCCTCTTGTATCTTCGCCTGTTTGGCGTGCTCCTCTTCTTTGTCTCACCCTTCACAACATTCTCAATACTTCCACAACTGACCTTTTCATAGCATACACTGCATACACTTTTTAACTCACACAAGTACAACTATATACAGTACTCATTAATCTCTCTCTTGACACACTGACCAAGAATAGAAACCCCTATGTGTACCAGCTTAGTGCAGTTGTGTAATGTGTTAGATTTGACCCATTATTGTCTTCTTGCTCTAATATTTGCATGAGGTAGTAAGGTGCTTTGGATCATTACTTTAACTATTATCATAATTCCACAGTGTAATTTCCACTCCTCAAATTTCATTGGACTTTGATGGAATTTCTGATGAAGCTGATAATAAATGAGGCTGGCCGATTAGCTGTGAGTCGGTTGGTTGGTTTTAAATTGGAGGCATATAGTAGGCTTACACAAATATGCACTGAGTAAGTATTTATACACGAATATAAGAAGACTAAGAACGGCAGCTCTCCTAAAAGCTGTCAACCTATAACAAGCTATAAATCTTAAAATTCAATGTTTTTATCCTCTGAGAACAAGCTGTTGTCCCCACACAGCCAGCCCACAAATTTCCTTCACTCACTGTGATCTGGCAAGGCTCAAGGCTCAATAAGCATTTGCTTGAATTAGGGTCACTGCCAATCTGAATAGACCAAACTACTTTGCATGCAATTTGTCCAACCTTTTTTCAGCTGATTGATGATTGACAAGTGGTCTTCTGGGCTCACACATGAACATGACTAGATGCATTCAGTACTCAGTGGACTCTCCTGGTTTTCAGAAAGTGCTTCAGGATTTCTACATGGGGGAAAAAAATTATGACTCTAATGGTTGTAGTCCTGTGACAGACTGATGACCGGTCAGGGCTCAGCGGATTTCTTTTCTAGACTATCTCAAAGCCAAAAAGTGAGCTGTTGAGATATATTGTAGTCTGGCTTTGTGTTTAGTGTGTTTGTGTGTCCATAACCCATCCCTTTGTTTTGGCCGCAAACTATTTTTAGGTAAAACCCAATGTTCACTTCTCATCTTTCATTCATTCTTTGCACCACAGGAAATCCAACTCCCTAAAATAATTATTGTCTCAGTCTTCTTATATGCAGGACACCCAACCTATCAGGAAGCTTTAAGTACCGAATGCTTTGCGGGTGGAATGTCCCAGCTGGGCTTTCCAAGTCTCGATAGGTTTGGTGCAGGAGTACACCACTGATGGTGTATTGTGATTGTTGTGAGTGGCCCAACTTTAGTGGAGCTCAACAACATCACTAGAGTTCCCCGTCACTATGGAGACCCTGACAGTAGCACGTCTTATAGATAACATGCGCAGATAACGTGTGTGTGTGTGTGTGTGTGTGTGTGTGTGTGTGTGTGTGTGTGTGTGTGTGTGTGTGTGTCTGTGTGTGTGTGTCTGTGTGTGTGTGTCTGTCTGTCTGTCTGTCTGTCTGTCTGTCTGTCTGTCTGTCTGCATGCATAGGTCTATATGTGTGTGTGATGATTCTGTATAAAATCAGTGTTGACCTTTTTATATCCTTAAGCTCATTAACTAAGTAAAAGGCGGAGACAGACATATAGCGTATGCCAAGTACAGACAGGCGGCTGGCTCATGGACTGGTGCAGCATGACGCTTGCTCTTTTAGTATGACATCAAGCAGAAGGTTGGCTTAGAGGGGCAGTGACACCTCACAAGCAGGTGCAAAAGAGTGAGGGTGACAGATGGTGGGTCCCCTGAGGGTGCATCTCTCTCTGTCGGTATAGTAGGGCGCATTCCCTTGACTTGATCTGCTTTTTTATGTCCAGCAGGGACAAGGAAGCTGTTTAGCATGTGCTTTTTTTCCAATCCCTAAAAACCTTCCCTTATGGATGAATAGGGTTTTAGCTTACATTTCACAGATAACTTTCTTCATCCCCTGCAATAATTCTCTAATCCAGTTGCATCACTGGGCAACAAAAATGAAACTAACTTGCAGAAAGGTCACCTTTTCCCTGCATAGCTGGATTAAATTCAATCTCCCAGTCTCCTCTCTGCTTCTTAAATCCAAGGCCACGGTGTTTCTGGGGGTCATTAGTAATTAGACTCTAGATAGAACAGGAAGATGAAGTGTGATGCACAGTAGGAAAACCAATAAGTGGAAAGAAAGTAGCTACAATAGCATCACATAATCACACTGGAGTGTGTGCATGTTTTTGCATCTTTGCATTTTTGTTTGTTGGTTCTTTTCAGTTCTTTCAGTGCGTACAGAGATGAGTACCTGTGTAATCGAGTATTTTCCATGGCTGATGGGAGGTGAGGAAATTAGAGTAGGGTGGAGTAGCTGAATGGAGCATGAACATACATCAGGGAGGCTGCTTAACAGGATTGGGAGATATTAATCGGATCATAGGTCACTCTGGCTCAGATTCCGTGTTTATTTTTCATTCTCCCTCCCAGGCAAGGTTACAGTGAAATCTCACTCTCAGTGGATGGTGACACAAGGGAATTGTCATCTGGATTGGCTGGATTTGACTGGATTTGTGAGTTTATAGTGTGACTAAAAGCCTGTGATCTAGTGTCCTCTAGAATATAGAAAGAATCAATTGGGTTTTTGTCAGTCAGTTAAGCATTATGCATAATTTATTTTTGGTATAGTACAAAACATGTCAAAAAGTAGTTGCCTGGGGTCTAAAACAATACAAAAATAGTCCTGTCAACATTAATAAATAGTTCAATATAATGTGTTATAAGTCATATTAGTTAATATCTTTTGAATCATTTTTTTAATACTGTACTGATTGTAGCATGGACATGTAAAAGACATGTCATGCCATCCATCCTACATAGGAGCAAGACACCCAGACTGAAAGAGACACACTTTTTTGCATCTCATTGTGTTGGTTTGTGGTCGATTTGAGTGTCTTTGTGGCTGTTTTGTGTTTCTTTGTAGTTGTTTCATTGTTGTCTTGCATCTCTTTGTGGTTGTCTTCCATATCTTTGTAGTCGATTTGTAACCTGACTGCGCCAGATGGTTTGTTACACACAACTAAGTTGACAATAGAAACTGTTTGGAACAGGGCAGGCACTTCCAAGAAGTCTGCAGGTGATTGGATGAAACATATGTCCTGTGGTCGATCTGCATCTCTTTGAGACCGCTTTTTTGTTTTTTCCATCCAATCCATCCATTTTACTAATAACAAACCCATATAAGAATTTTGAAGGATTGCCGCAGACTTGCAGCAGACTTACTGCAGCCTGTAAGTCAGAATGAGTCAGTTTTTCATTCTAATTCTGAGGAACTACATATTTCTAAATGTTGACATGATGTTCTCCATGCCTCCTTTAGCCCCAGAACAGAAATGAGCCATTCCCAGGGGTAGCATGGTGTTTTGTTGCTCTTGCAGAATCTTGTGGCATTTTGGGGTGAAATCATGAATGCAGTTTGACTATCAAGGACACCCCCGAGTGGTAGGAAAAGAAAGTTTGGTAGAAAGAAGGTCTGGAAAAGTTCACTGGAAGGATGGCGAGGTGTGTGTGTGTGTGTGTGTGTGTGTGTGTGTGTGTGTGTGTGTGTGTGTGTGTGTGTGTGTGTGTGTGTGTGTGTGTGGCTGTGTGTGGCTGTGTGTGGCTGTGTGTGGCTGTCTTCATGAGGAGAAGGCAAGGTGGAGGACCTGGTGACCCGGAACAGCAGAGAAAGTAGGTGTGTGTAAGGCAGAGCTGTTGCCCCTTAAATAGGTGACACCACTTTTTCACCACAATTTGATGAACGGGGATTCCCCTCTTGGCAGCATGGCTTGTAACTGGTTATTGATGGCTGCTGTATCCATGACTAGTGGTGTTGCAACTCTGATTTACACTACACAAGCTTTTTCCCCCGCAAACACGCAGCAGGGTCAGTCAAGGTCTCATTCAGAATAGCCTCAAGAATTGAGTCAGGTCCTGTACACAATTCACTCACATATGCATTATAATGAACAGGAGCACGGGATACGGTAGTGACCTCATTTACAGCGTGGCAGTCCATTACTCACACCAAAGGTAACCTCCATTTCTTTCACCCTCACACCTTTTTTTTCACATCACAGCTTCTCTTTTCCCTATTCTGACCTATCTGTTAGGACACATTGAGGGGAGGTAAAGAGGGGAATGATGGACATATTTCCCCCACAAGTCCTCCTAGAGCAATGATGGATGAGATAGCAGCCATGGCAGAATCTAATGGGGTTTTACCACACTATGCTTCTATTTTAAAACCATTTCTTGATCATTGTGTGATTCTGTCATTCATCACACAGCGACCTTCAAGTATTTGACTGGAGTCACCACACAGAGTAGCTTGTTGGCTGCCTGAAGATAGCTTTAATGTACTTTGATCCATGTGTCTTTTTAATCTCTGTATATCCATGCCTTTTTTTATGCATGCATTTAATTTTTACAACAGGGTTGTCATATAGAAATATCATATAATATGGTGCTGATCATCCATGGTCCCCAGAGGATCAATCCTACTGCCTTTGATCCTGATCTTTTCCACTAGTGTTATCAGAAGGTCAATGTTTTTGCTTATTCTGCAAGGTATCTTAACATCTACTTGATGGATTGGCACAGATTTTTAATAGACATTCAGTGCTCCCAGACAATATATCCCAATGCTTTTGGTGAGTCACTGACGTTACTGGATAGATTGCCATTACATTTGGTACAGACATTCATGCATCCCTCAAGATAAACTACATTAACCTTGTTGACCCTGCAACTTTCCATCCAGCATCAAAGTCAAGTTTTTTATTTGTCCAATATTTTGGTTTATGTAGACTTTTTGTATTGTTGAATTTAGAAGTCTCCTTAAAAACAGCAGAGAGACAGACTGAAGTGGTAAGGCTATACAGAGAGATATCCTAATGCTGCTCCGTTGGCACTGAATAGTGGAACAACTATTACCTGACAGCACCCATTGTGAGTTCACTGGGATATGGAGACAGTCATTCACAGCTGTAAGTCTTGCATTCAATTAAATCTCATCTGGATGTTATATCTCAAACAAATGTTCAATGAGTGTACACACTCAGTGGAACAATTTCAAAAAGTGTCACCTGATATGGATATGAAATGGGTGTCTTGATACCACAATTTCTAGCTCAGTGTTTTTGTCGATGCTGACTTAACAGAAATCAATTACCAGATTCATAGACATAGCACAGTGTAGGGTGCATTATTCCCTTTTAAATGTGTGAAAACACCTCCTCATCAGGGCCCACAAGATGTTGCGCTCATCCTAAAACCTTTACAGCACCCAAGAGAGCATTGCACATGGAATGCTTGGTTTCCAGCTTTCCAGTAGGTCATTATAGACACAGAAAGAGCATGAAGCTGAATGGGGAATAATTCGAATTGTGGAAGGATGTGCACTTCAAAGGGCCTGTGTGTCCTCAGTGTTCATCCCACTGAGAAGCAAGCAAGATCAAATAAAAGAGCTGTACATGTAGCACCAAACACAGGGTTATTAAAGACTCTTAAGGAGTTATTTGCATTATGAAAGTTGAATCCAAAGACTCCATCCAGCAGTCAAGTCAATGGCTTGATCCATCTACTTTCTTTCTTTCTGCCTATCTTACCCTTACACAAACACAGGTCATGTAAACCCTAGATCACTGAGCCACCCAAATATCAATTGATTTGTTTTGTTTTTTTATTTTGCCTGGCTGTGATGCAATTCCACGTTGTTAACCCAGAAACACAGAACTGAATGCAAATTAATTGGGAACAAACTTGAACAAATTTTTTTATTCATTAATGTTATTGCATGTAAACCTTTTTAAACTAATAGTTACGATGTCTAATGACTTTTCACAATCAAAGCACTCGTTTGTTTGAGAGTACAGATAGATCTTAGTTTTTGTAGTGCGCTGAATATAACTTGATTGAAATGGCAAAACATTTCTGCATCAAAGCTGTTCCGTCAATGAAAGAAGAAAATGTGTTCAGGGACAGCAACAGACACAGAGATTCTCAGACTCATTAGTGTAGGCTGAATGCAAGGTAAACAGTCTAATGCAAAGTGCTCACATTGACAAGGAGTTGGCAGCCTGTTGCCAGCCATATCTCTTTCCTGATAGTAGCCTGTCGTTCCCACCTAGGCACGGTTCCAAGGGTCAGGGAAAGACTGCCCTGCCACAGATGCCTTGGCACAGCTGATGGACCCTCAAGGCTCGGGAGATTAGAGTGCTAAGTCTTCCCTCCACTAGGAACTAAAAGCTTGAGCATTGGTCTCAGAGAGTGTGTAAAAAGAAAAAAAAAATTATGGTGGGAAGAAAACAGCATAGATCAAAGGGAGGTATTTGCCTGATGCTCTCTCGGCATGAAAAGACTGGCAAATAGCTTGCTGTGCTTAATTTATCCTTCCTTTTCCACTGATGGTTGGTCACTGGGGTTGTATTGATAAAAGTCCTATACTAGTTACTTTCTAAAGTTGTTATCTTAGTAGAGATTGTGTAATTGATGAGGTCATATTTTGCATTAATGTGTGCTCTTTGCCACCCCCCTTCCTTTCGAGTTTTTCTTCAATTAATTAAATTGAATAGAGTCATGAATCACCATGATTGATTACCACCTTCTTAATAAACTGTAATTTTGTAGCATACTCTTGGTACGTTAGCAATAACTTAAATTAGTTATTTTTTGAAGTGGGATTCCCCTGCTTGGATATTTTCTCCGCTTGATTTCCCCTAATTTTCTATCTTTTTATTCTCTCTGCCTCTCTTTTCCATCTCTTTCCTGTCCGTGGTGAAAAGCGTCACCATGAACTGATGCTACCTCCTGCCCTATCCGGGTATAGATGCATATATGTGTGTATATACATATAGATGCTTATCTAGATGTGTCCAAATGTGTGTGCGTAAGGTGAGAAAAGGTGATACTCAAACTGCGTCACAGCCCCATGAAACACAGCCCCATGAAATAGTATCTTTGCTAGCTTAATTCCTATTCAAATAAGACTTCAGAGTGGGATATAACACAGTGAGGGATCATTTTGAACTGCAAACCAAACGCATCAGTTAAGCAGAACCAGAGGGAGGGGTGGGATATCTAAAAAACACTGTGATGGTCTTATTGTTTGGGGCTTTGTTTACACTTACTTGTGCAGGATGAGGTCGCCATTAAAGATTCACTGGTTTCCAGGTGACAAGCAACAGTTTTCTGGGAAACAAAGTCCCCATTTCATTGAATCCTTACAGAAACCAGTAAAGTGATTGAGGTGTTCCGGGCATGATGAGGTCACTCTAAAGTGCTCACGCACTGCTCTCTGATCCAAAAGCTTCTGTTACTCAGCAGACTGTTTAACCTACAACAATTCACAGTACTGTGCCTGATGAGCACTTTGCCACCTAGACGCAAATAATGCAGCTCACTTTAATCTGTTTTCTAGTAGAGTTTTCTAGCAACACTAAAAATATGCACACATAGGATGCTGTAAAAAAATTGACTTCTACTGAAATAGTGTAATGACATTTTTATAGAATAGCTATGAATCCACATTTGAAAATGTTATATTATTTTATATTATTAATTGATCAATAAAGGCCTGCACCTGCCATTACAAAGATGACCACAACAGCTATTTTTAAAACCATTTTGGGGGACCTTTTCAGCGTTAATGGTCAGACTGAGAGTGAAGCAGAAAATCAGGAGAGAGAAGTGGGCATGACACAAGTCGCTGGCTGGAAATGACATTGTGGTCATGCAGCATGCGCAGTAGCTGTTCAGCTACCAAGGCGCTCCACAACAGCTATTTTTTAATTAGAAAAGCAGAGTTGAACCTTCAAACCACAGTCACAGCCTTTAGGGGTCAAGTAGCTTGCATTGAGTCTCTGTGGGCTTCCTGTTGCCACAACTTTCTTGACCTAGATAAGCAGCTGGATGATGGATATGTGTATGAATGGAAGGATGTTATAATTATACTTCTATATGTGTTATCAAGCATGTTTTAATAGAAAATTAATGTACCTTTACCCTGGATTCGGCTCAGGTAGGTTGAATATCTGAGATGTCCAATTATAGTATGAAGCATGAAATATAATCACTTTTTTGAAATGTCCATTAGGGAAAATGACTCATGTCAGCTATGGTTTTGTTGTGTTGAATTTGTAATCTGCGAAATGTTAAGGGCTAATGAACCGGGTGTTTCACCTTTTCTACATTCTAATTTAACGCTTCTTGTGGAAACCTTTAACACATCCAACACCCAACTTCAAATATAATACTTTTAAAGCTCATATTCAACTCATTGTGCTCACAAAGTTGGATATTTTCTTGCATTCCAGTTTTCATCCTTCTAACTTTCTTCTTCTTTATCTTAAGCCCTTGATACCTGATGTTTCACATAAACCGCTATAATGCTTCAAAGTTAAAAAAAACATGTTTCACATTTTGATTTTGTACTGGTGAATTAGATTAGTCGATAAATCAATCCAAACCCTGGAAATGAGTAGACGGCTATTTTGATAATCCATAAATCATTTAAGTCAAAGCTAAAACAAATATGCCAAACATTCCTTGGTTCCAGCTTCTGCAGTGTGATTTTCTGTTTTTCTTTTGTCAAATGAATATTTTGGGCTTTCAGTATGTACATTTATTTTTTATTTCTGATATTTTAAGACAAAACAATGAATCAAGAAAATTACTGTCCCATGAGTTCATAATGATAATAATTGTTAGTTGCAGCCCTAATATTTTGTGGCTCCTTGCTGAAAGACTTTTGTGAAGCTGTATCAGGCTCATGTGACAGTTCAGTGGGTTTGTGATCATCGATGATGTTAAGGAACATTTACCATTATACTGAATTTCGAATTCAGACACACATTTGAAGTTGTTACAACCATTATCAGCCTGCTGGGCTTGAGATAATTAACCTTCTCATTTCAGTCAGGATATTTTTGGCAGTATGGCTTTGTTCTGGGACCTGTTCTGGGAGAGCACACCTCCCTGCCCTTCCATGTGCATGCAAGGGAAGCTTAAGACAAGGAGCGCTGCAGCAAAGACCCCCCCCCCCAGGCTACAGAACAGAGAAAGCATCAATGATTAAATCAGATACAGCATACAGCATACAAGGAGGAGCTGGGGTGGAGGTGGGTTGCAAAGCAGCTTGCAGAGGAAGCAGCAGGGGTAGGCAGACTAAAGCACCTTAAATAAGCCTCCCTGAATGACATTTGCCAATTGGATGCTTGACAGGTATTAGCTGAGCTATCAGCTTATTGTATGTAATTTCCCAATCGGAAGCTGAGGAGGGAATCAGCTGAGCTATCAGCTGATGTGTGTTTACGGTCAGCTGCGATCAGCTGATGTAGCTGCAATGTGAACTGAGCTTGACTTTCGTGGCCTGTCTGAACTAATGCTGTGCTCAATTTCTTTGTCCTTTCCAGCTGAAGAGTGCATTTCAAACTATCCAGATCAGTATCAACCATGACATCACAGAGTAAGTCTTTCTGCAGTTAACACCTGTTTCTGTCTGTTTTTCCACTCTCATACTAAAGTTGACCCACAGCAGCTGTAATGTTACCACTTTATTCTCTCTAATATGTCATATTAGTGACCTGGAACAAAGACAGAGAATAGCTGGTGAGAGGACTTGTGTTTCTAGCTCGTCTCTTTTTTCTTTGGCTGGAGTGAGTTTTCTGTCTCAGGTTTTCAAAATGTGGCTTCAGTCTTGACAACTCTTTGTTTAGCTTTTAGAGGTGAATGGAATTAGAAAGTAGAGCTCCCCTTGAGGCAATTACCTTCCATTTTCAATACTTTCAGCTGCACAAAAGCCCTGTCGCCAGTGGATATTTTCACTGATTGCCCACTCAAACTTGGACGTAACTTTGCATTTGTCATAAAGCAGGAAAAGCCATCAGAGTTCTGAAACTACTTTGAAAGCATAGTTTTACACTTCCAGTTTCAGATGGAAGAAAAAGTAGTTTCATCTATTTTGTCCAGAAGCTTCATTTATAGAACATAATACTGCACAATCATATCACTGCCAAAATACACTCATTAACCAGAGAAAATTATGTAAAAGGTGGGATTATGTAAGAAAAAGGCCTTTTGAGTGACAAAATCCAATAAGTCAAGATATGAGATTCAGCTAGAAACACATCAGAAATGGTCAAAAATAGATTCCAAATGAGTTTTTATGATGAAATGTGCAGGTGGCATTATTTAACTATGTATTATTCAACATGACGAAAAGACAGTTGGTTATATTAGTTATATAGTGATGGTCCAAGTAAAAAACAGTAAAAACACATGCCAGCAATAGAAAATATACATATTATCTCGTCCATGTGTCGCTTTTTAAGCAGAGTTTCAACCCACAGATGGTTTATAGAGCTAAATATGCATCCCAAGTTACATAAATATGCAATCCAAGCTACATTCTCAATGTTAATAGGGTGATCAGAGGAGATTTAACGTGAATATACTGATTTCACATTGAATTATTATGCCTCCTTTTGTACCTGTCATTTAATTAGTAGCAGTCCACTTCAATAGATGATATTTGACCTTTTTGGATAAAGAAGGCCGACTGGTTTTTGCTCTTCTCTGAATAAGTGCTAGTTTGGGATGTGTGAATGACTGCTTTGACGGGGAGGCGAGAGAAGAATGTGTAGATAGAGTTTTAAAAGAGACGACAGAGGAAGGGTGATAGAGGTGAGTAGAGGACAAAAAGAGACAGAATGAGAGACAGCGGCAGAGAGTTGTGGGAAGACGGGAGTGAGAGCACTGGAGACAGAGATGACAAAGACTGACAGCCATCCTCCTCAGTCTGACATCTAAAGTATACTACACATCCAGCAGTGTGAATACTGAAAAAACAGCCAGAGCAGAGGGGGAGATTGAGGGGGGTTTGAGTTGAGAGGAAGAGATGATGTTTTGAAAGGTCGTCTCGCCTGAAACTTGAAATTTCCTGTCAGAGAAAGCATCAGTGTTATACAGGCTGACATTCTGAGCTAAACTTGACGCTATGGCTGATTTTCCTCAGCTTCTCCTTCCATACACACACACACACACACACACACACACACACATAATTGCACTTGCTGTGATTAAAGATCCTATAAAATCTCGTCCAGCGTCTAAATATGTAAATGGCATTACAGACGGAGTAGTGACAGCCTTCAAGCAGCCCTCGTTTTGCTTGCCATTTCCTCCATCCCTCTCATCTTTAGAGGAGTGCTGATTATCCAGACCTCTAAACTGCAGTGGAAAAAAACATCAAATACTAAGCTCTACGCCAACTTTCAGTATCTCTTGTGACATGAACTGTTATCTATAGGGAGAACAGTTGCACTTTAGAGAGCTGCGGTTGCTAACCCTTAGAGTACTGACTGTGCACCTTTGACTGTACCTCCAGTACGTCAGTCCTCTGGGATTTAAAGGTGACATGTTTGTTTTGTGTGTGAGTGTAGGTGTGAGGGAAAGGGAAATAAAAAGGGAAACGAGAAAAACAGACAGTCTTGTTCTAAGTGTAGCTAGTCTACTGTGCTTGCAAATAAATTTCCAGGAATCTTGTTTTTGCTAAGCTCAAGCCCTAAACTCAAGGCACAAAGATAAAACTATAACATTTCCAGGCCAAAAATAAAACAGACAGAAGGAAAACTAGACTGACAGACAGGCATCGTGTGCGCCTGTGTGTATCTTTGGGTTTGGCCCAAGCTTTCTCCACACTGTCTCCATTGCCATTAGAAGAGCGTTCTGGTCTGTGGAGGCCCAGAGGATTTGAATGGCACAGGCTCAGGGTAATGGGAACATAGGGATACAGATTGGCAGGATGCTTTTTCTACTGCCAGTTCCATCATCAGTAGCAGCAGCACTGCATTTATATTACCTTGTACTATTTCTTTTATACCACTTCTATATTTGTATGCTCTCATATTGACTATTGTTTAGAAGACACAGAACCACGGAGTCCCCTGGGGGTCACATAGTAGAAAATAGATACTGATGTTGAAATCCATGCGCAATAATAGATGTTTTCACAGCAGACATTTTTGACTTGTCCCAGCAGAGAAAGCGCAGGTGTGACTAATAATATTAATGATGCGGTCACTAATAATGTTTATTACACCTGTGCCTTGTGAGTCCACAGCACAGCAATGTCCCTGTGTTAAAGGAATAGTTCAATTACTTAAGTAACATTTGCTTGTATGCTAATTCCCTTTTTGGCGATGAGTTAGATGTGAACGTTGACACATCTGTACAGTAAATATAAGGCTACAGTTAGCTTAGCATAGCACAAAGACTGTAAACAGTGAAAACTGCTGCCCTGGCTCTATCCAGTGTAACACAAGTCCCCGTACCAGCACCTCTAAAGCTCACTAATGAACAATAATTTTTTTTTAATGTATACAAAACTGAAGTGTAAGAATGACTATATATCCCCTTTTGTCTTTCTTAAAAATGTAATATTTTATTGACTCGTCTAAAAGATGGGGGCTTGTACAAAACTTTATCTGATCAGATGTTGTTTGGTGCAACTAGCTAATAAGGCCCGTCATATAAAATCACAGTCAACTATTAGCTATGTAGCAGAGTGATATCCCAGGTCAGAGGTGTGCATTTCATATATATATATTCATATAAGACAGTAAACACTTTGTTTGAATCAAATTGTGCTCTAATTTATTAATTTCTCTGTCACACCCAGCCTCCTGATTTAACAATGCGGCTGATGGAGGTGTGGGTGGTCGCTGTGTTTTCTGAGCCACAACCACTTTCTAGGGAGCCAATCACAATTTTCAATCAGAAAGTAGTCACATAATGTTTGATAAAGACGTTTTAACTTCAGTTTCACTGTGACCTTAAAAGGACCAGTGTGTAGGATTTAGTGGCATCTAGCGGTGATTTTGCAGATTGCAACTAACTGAACACTGCTTGTGTCTGTATTTAATGACCTGGGAATGAGAAGAGGCTGTGAAGTGTGTAGGAGAAACTACGATGGCTATAAAATGCCCCGTCTATCTACAGCTTGTATTTGATTTATTCCCTAGTCCCTTGTGGGCTACTGTAGAAACATGGCAGTTCTACATGGAAGGCGACCCGCGATGTCTGTAGATAAAAATGGCTCATTCTAAGCAAAGCAATTCCTATATTCAGTATGTCCAAACATTGCTCCTGGCTTTTACTTTATCTGCACATTTACTGTACTATTATGAAACTCCTCAACGGTACAGTGCGTTTTATGTAATGGTTACTAAAACCTGCTGTCTTCCAAGCAGTGCACAACTTAAAAAGGGAATGAAAATAAAGGTTTGCAAACTGTCTGCTCGGGAGTTATCAGCACAGTTCATAATGAGGCCACTTCAACTTGGCAGAAACATCCCTTTTTATATTAGAAAGCATCAAAGTACAGGTATCATTGCAGAAAGTAAAGTGTTTTTTATACTGTCAATACAATGTCTATGCTTTCTATCCTTTCTCAGGATGCCAGACACAGTTAAACAGAAGAATGCCTTCCCACCAAACTTCATCCACTCTCTGGACTCCACACACATGATGCTGACTGCTCTCCACTGCTATAGGTATCATTTAACATATCATACTTAACCCATAAAACCCATGCAATCATGTTTCTAAAGGCAGTCTGAAATATGCTCCTGACATTGACTCTCTATGTATGCATGACCTCAAATAGCTTTGAGAATGTACCCTCTCATTTTAAAAGCAATTATCACTTCAGATGAGCATTATATGATATCCGTGCAGTATAAGCTCACAGAATTGGCCTCTTGACAGGTGTGTTAATTCATGATTGAACTCACGCTGGCTTTACATGAAGGTCCGCTATGGTTTTAGGTATTATTGTCGCTGTAATACACCTTTGCCAAAGTCTACCAGTTTTTAATGACCTTGTCTTCTCTTTCATGTATTTTTCTTTGTCTGATTTCAATCCCTGAACATGGCTTCTCTTCAACCCTTTGTTCCCTCTCCTTTCCTCTCAGTGCTGACCTGACATTCGTCTCGGTTCACGACTGTTTCTGGACCCACGCCCTCACTGTGGACACCATGAACAAGGTATCAAATTACAGTCCAATCATTTTTTGCTCCCACCGGTTCAGACTCTTTCACCATTCTTGTACGTATCATCCTTTCAGAGCTGTTTTCAACCTGTCTGATCGTGTATCATCAGGGTTTAGAATTCTCCTGTTTTTACTGTGTAATTAAAGCTTAAGGTGACACGTGATTCAATTCTTCTGGTTCTATCTTTCCTTTACATCCAGGTTGGTTTGTTTTATATATTTTTGCTGAATTGAACAGAAGAAGGATTGTGTGTTCTTGAAAGCTGTGAGTACTTTTACAGTGGATGCTGGTGATAAAAATACATTTTACATGTAGCATCACTAGTGCTAGGTAGAAGACAGGTTTTGTGAAGCCACTAAAACAAATGAAATATTTTCACAGTTTCATACATTTACTGGCTGCTGGCTGTAGGTAGCACCTTTAGACAGAGCCTGTTGTGCTGAATAAATGACTGTCTGCCTCTGCCTGCTGAAACTAGCTTGTCAACAGACCCAGACTGAGACACAGCATAGAATAAAATGGATCAATTTACCTTAAAGTCCCAGTTTTCTGTAGATGTCAGTTTTATGTCTTCAGCCCATCTCAGAGGAGTTGCAACCAATGAAGCAGTTCCCTTTCAGTACATTCATATTTAATATCATTCTCAAGATATTAAATATCTTAGTCAACACCTAAGCACATGAAGAAGGTCCTTTTTTTAAGTGCAACTGACCCTTCCTCAATTCTTCATCCACCCATTTTCTGAACTGCCAGGCTGCCAGTATAAACAGGTTTCTGAGTGACGTGGGGGGCAGAAAACAAACCAGAATGACTGAGAGCGTATGAGAAGATCAATATGAGGAGTTCTGTTTGTCCTTTAAACTACAAAAGTAATGCATGGGAAGATTTAATATTCCAAGAAGGAAACCCTCCCTGTTAGCTCTGCTGATATAGTCAGAGGCCTGGGTTTTAGTAAAGTGGTTTTCTTGGGAGTTTGCATAGAAACTGGTGAGGGAGAAATGCCTTTCAAGGCAAGACAGCTCCCACTATTACTGCGTGTTTAGGATTTTTTGATGAATAGTGCACAAGTTTATCAAGCTCTATAATCAATTATTTGCTGATCAGTTTGTGTTTTGAGTATCAGTGTGGGATTTGTTGGCAGACTGGTGGCTTTGGATGGAAAATTTGTCATGTGTCTGATTTCTAATATTTCAGGGAATAGTCAGGTTTTTCTGAGTCTCTTTTCCTAATTCTGCACCCCTTCTGCAATGCACTGGTTTAATGGCACCAGACTAGAGAATTAGCACCGGCAGCTGTTTATCTCATAATATTAATCGTTGTGGATGGAAACGGACATTAATTTGTGTTTTCTTTTGTCAATTTTTTAGAAATTTGGTTAAAATTCACACTAGATTTTAATGAAAACATTTGAGACTTGCAGTGTGTTCTACATACTAAAATGCATCCTGGGAAACACATGGGGAGGATTCTAATAACCTGCAACCAACACAGAAATGAATAGCACTTCTTTTCCCCAGGTGATGCTGTGGTGTGTCAACAGCAATATAAATCAAATCCACAGTTTTTTTTTTTTTTTTTTTGGTCAAATTTGTATTTGACCAAAAAAAATTGTATAATTCAAGGAGGAATTGAGAAGACATACAGAAAAGTTGTTTATACTCTGGGAGATGATCCATTTTCCTGATTTGCTTGTAGGTCAAGTGTGTTGGCAAGATTAATTCAAAGTACACTTCTTTCTGCCTCTTCCTCCTCCTGTCAGGTCTGTCGGGAACAGTTTGTCGCCCTGCACAGCCAGCCAATCCTTCAAGAGCTGTCCAACTTCCTGCTAAACAAATACTGCAGCAGCCCCCCGTGAGTTCACACACCTGCATGCTGGAACACATTCGACTGTTCACACTCATACATACATAGGTTAAGTCTCAAGAGCAACACCGTGGTCAGTTATCTATAAGGTTTATGATGATAAAAATAGGTCTAGCTATCTTTTTTTCCCATCTCTATTTCAGGTACAAACGATTATTGTCATACAGTATCTACACTTAAGCAAAATTTTATGCAATAGTTACTCTGTCTGTGTCTATGCAACGCTGTATATTATCTTTATGGACCTTAATGGTATAGACAAAAGCCATCATACGCTGAACATGCAACTCCCAAATGTACATACAATATAAAACAGTCCAAGGAGAAGGTACACACACTAAAGGTTATAAGGCAATAAAAGTTAAATTAGCATGCCAGAGTTTTTCCTCCACTTGTCTGTGACCCCCCCCCCCTCTCTCTCTCTCTCTCTCTCTCTCTGTGTGTCTGTGTCTGTGTTACTGGCCTCAGGCTGGGTTATGCTCATCATCTGACTGTTTTTCTCTCTTTGGGATAATTGGACACCTTCTCTACAGCCTTTACTCCACAGCAGCCCTCATCCTCTTTGTCTTTCTCCCTCCCTCTCACACAGACACACATCACTGTTCCCTAATCCTTGCAAACACATGATTCATTCTTGTAGGTACCAGAGAGAAAGACTTGTGGGAATAGGAAGACTTTTTGGATTTCTTCACTGGCTGCAATGTGTAACTGAATACCAGTAGATTTTATTTTTTTTAACAATCCTTACAGTTTAGGCAGGAATTGGTTCAATATAATGATAGGTTAACCCCCTGCTTAAATGAAAACAAATGGATTAGTCTACATGTTCTTGCTTTTCAACTTTCTACTATCCTAGAAGTTCTTTCAAAGTTCTACAGTTCTAGTGTTATCACCCTACAGAAAAAACATTGTGTGGTAAAACATTAAAATGGCCTTTTTTGGGTGTACCAGTCACATCTCACATTAACATGTGTTCTGCCACCTCTTGCACATCACATGAGAAGTACTAATTATGTGCTAATTCCAAGGCAGTGAGTCATTGGACTTGCTGTTTTGTCTGAAAAACAACTCACAACAACCTCAAAAACTCTAATGTAACATCCAGGTGTCATAGTAGTTTAAATACGTGGGACCATCAGTCAGCAGAACCGGTGAAGACACTTGAAGGAGACGACTCCGAAAGGCCAATTAGTACTTCTATAGTCACTCAAACGTGTTCTTCTCAGAGTTTTTGAAGTCTTAACTTTTTTTGTTCTCCTCTTTTGTGGCAGGGTTGAGGACACGAAAAAGATGAATATGGAATATGAGAATCTGAAGCAGCTGCTGGCCCAAGTGCCCAAGACAGGTCAGTTTGTATGCAGCTGTCTGGCTCCTAAACACTTGGTTGCACCAAGGCACGAGTATTGTTTGAAAGAGCCAAATTACTGGGTGCTAGTTTTTTTCTGTTTTTTTAATTGGATTGAAGAGGACTTGTATGTCCTGAAGTTCGGTTTGAGGTTAGCAAGAATGATAGGAATGTTATTAAATTAGGTTCTTGAACAATCCTGTTTTCTATCCTGAACAAAAAGAATTGCTACTTGTTGTTGCCTATTGCTTGTATAGTCATCCCATTGTCTGAAGTCGGATGTCGAGCTGTCTGTGTTGCCCAGACATGGTATTCTGCCTGTTGATTCAAACAGGAAATGCCAATGAGTTTGGCTGAAATTCAATTTTCAGGTTATGTCATGAGTGGTCTAGCAGGTCCAGATTTCCCCAGTTTTCCTTTGACGCCACTGCAAGCATCTGTCTATTATTGTCCAGTGTGGAGGTACAGAAGCAGCGCCTCTCTGTCAGTCAGGTGGATGGGGGCTTTGCTGTTATATAACCCCTCGCTCCATTTCCATCTGTACCCTTAGTGTCTGCTTGGCACCGACAGCTGGGTTGTATAAATTGATTACTGTTAATTGTGTCCCTCCTCTGCATAATCAGCTTATGTGGCTAAGACCAGTCAGGTGTGCTCCTGACGGAGGGGTGTGTGCTTGTGTGTGTGTCCCTGAATGTCCACTGTGTTTAATGTTAAATATGAGACTCAATGGATCTGGACTCAAATCCATTATAAGCTTCACTATGAAAGATCCTGAACTGATTATTAAGGTGAGTCTGGTTTCACCGTGTGTAATCCAGCAGGAGGTCAGACGAATCAGGTGGATCTATGACCACAGAGACTGCAGAGAACACTGAATAACTTAGAGCCATTACCGTGCAAAGACACTAACGCAGCTAGAGTCTGACTTTGACGCTACAGTTGCTGACTTTTAGGATAGTAAATGCTTTAAGTTATTCAGTGTGTTCATGTCTTTACTCTTTTAAACACTGACATTTTTTACTTTGGTGTCATTTAACACCATTAAGGCTGTACGTTTGTAAGACCCAAGTTGGGTGGTTGTGAAGAAGCATGTCTTTTCAGCTTTATGTGCCTTCACTTCGGTACACAGTGTTGTACATTATGTGATTGTGGTAACAGTCTGTTTATCTGTTATCATTATTACCAAAATAGAAGATTGAAGTGTGTGCATTCTTAAGCTTTTTATGGCCTTTCCTCAATAATTCACGCTGTAGCTCCTGCTGGCGTACGCTGCTGTCAGAGAGGCAAAGAGTACACAAGGCAAAGTACAGAGTGCAGGACAGGGCCTCATCCAGAGCTAAAATTAGTAGTGTGTGTATTAAAGTTCATAGAAAATTTACTGGTGCCCAGTAAAACTAAAAAGTTGTATCTGATTTAAAAATTAAAGCTCCTGAGTTTGACCCACTTAAAAAATAACTTCTCTTCTCCCTCTCATGAAGTTTGTAACCCTGGCCTTTTAATAGACTCAGGACAAACTACATCCTACCTACATCCTAATGTTCTTAACAGTTTCCTTAATTGATCAACGACAGCATAGATGATAGATGGAAAATTGACCACAGTGCAAATTGTCCGAATTGATTATTTATCAGCATACAAAAACTCCTTGAAATCTTATTTTTAAGGAGTCCCATATATTAAAAGCTTACAAAATACAAAGTGCATATTCCCTCAGTTTTGTTTTTTGGTCATTATGATCAGGATCTGTTTCCCAGCAGCAGTGCCAGTCTGCCAGCTGGTCAGTCCACCACTTTCGTCCAAACTGAAATATCTCAACTATTGGATAGATTGCTATGAAATCGTGTACAGACATTCATGATGTCCACAGGAGAAATCCTGCTGACTTTTGACGATCCCCTGACTTTTCATGTAGTGCCACCTTGAGGTTGACATTTTATGGCTTTTACTGAAATGTTTTGACAAATATTGGATGGCTTGCTGTTGAATTTTGTCAGTCACGTCCCTCTCAAAATTAATTAGTGATCCGCCATAATCCAGTCCAAATGTCAGCCGTACTTGTGCTAATAAGTCTGACTCACTGGATGTAGACTGTGGGTATAAGCCTGCCATTGGCCACGTATTTCACGCAACATTCTCCTTCCACCGTCTGTGTGTTACTGTATTCAAAATCCCCTTCGCTATGGAAAACAAAAACAACCTCCGAGCTTGCAACTTATTTAATTGGAAAATGACAAGTTTACCCTAACCTGGTCGCTAAAGGCACGAACTTCAACAAGCTAGCAGCTGTTACTTTTTTCTTTTGCGGGTAATCAACCATTTTAATCACAGTGCTCGCTTCCCCATGTGCATATGTTCCTCCAAAACACAGCCACCCCCCCCCAAATTTGAACACGATCATATGTGGTGATTTTAAGTTTTCTTTTGTAATTAAAGCTGCAGTACATATACTTTACTTTCTCAGACTACCATCCACTGACTTTAACCTGCTCTGATACTTTGCCTCTTACCTCTCCAGGTGATTTGGATCTCCAGCAGGTCAAAGATTCCATTTATTTCTTCAGCTGAGAGGCTTGTGAGGGCGAGCAAGCGAATGCAGATGAGTGGAATTGACACAGTGCAGCAGGGAGGCTGCAGGCCCCAGGGTCTCGACTAGCTTTGTCTCCCCCAGACATCAGGACATTGATCCAGCCACACCCTGCCCGCCTCCTGGTCCACAGGCTGGCTGGAAACTGCTGGAGCTACTGGAGGCATTCGCAAACACTGAGCCCTGCCTGATTAACTGACTAGTGGGCTGATGGAAATGGTGGGGAGGGGGATACTCATCCAAGCGACAGATGAGGAAATCAGCACCGGATGGAAATGTTAAGACTTCAATCAGTGAAAAGTACCTCTTATAATGGATTTATTCAAGTGTATGTGTGTGTGTGTGTGTGTGCGTGTGTGTCTGTGTGTGTGCGCGTACATGACCCTCTACTGACTGAATCACATGGGAACTGTTGATTTCTTCATCACTCAGCAACACTTCTGCTACTCGATAAGACTGAGCAAAAGCTTCTCACCTACAAACTGTAATTGCTAGTGACTGGTGGTGTGTGAGCATTTGTCATGCTGTGAAGACCTCCACAGAGCGCTGACCTGCCTCTGCGACTCTCCCACCTAATCGTCGATCCCATCATTACTGGCTGGCAGGACGCTCTCTGACACAACGTTTAAACATTTAAAGGTTTTCTGAAGAAGTTTGAAGAGAAGACGTTTCAGGTGGAAATTAAATCAAACAAAGAATTACAGGATACGGGGCTCTCGGAGAAAGATAAATGTGGAAGGATGAGTAAAGGGGAGACAGCATTGTGTGCCAGGGTACTCTTGACTTAACTTTTTGGACTAAACACTTGACAGTTGCCTTTAAAATAAATGTGTTTCTTAAAATGTCTCCTTATTCATTCAGTGGTTCAAAGAAATAGCTGGTATTCTTAGTGGGCTTAAATAGGATGAATGACAGTCTGTTATTTTGTTATATGTATCTGCATATTTCAATTCTACTGTGTATCATGAGATGAAGGCCTCCTTTTAGATGCACCACAAAGGGTTTGCAGGCTTTGCTAATCAACTCAGATCTTATTTTTTCTGGGCCAGTGCCACATCTAGAAGTAAAAATAGCAGAAGTGCTATCTGATCATTGCTGGAAACGTTACAGCAGTTTCAGACAAAAGGTGCCGTGGATGTTCAAAGGCAAATGTAGGCTCAGACAAACAAAGCTGGCTGAGTGACAATGTAATGAAATGGAAATAATCTCCGAGGGGGCATAAATAGTGTGCTGATTAGACTGTAGAATTTGACATGATTTGCACAGCAACATGCACATGGAGATGTTCTTCATATTTTCTGATGTGAATGAGATGTGGCTTTGATCAATTATTTTATTGAGTTGGTAAAAATGATATATCACCTAATGACTTGATTTTACAGTGAAATCTTCTTTGAACTGTGCTCACTGTGCTCTCTGTGAGGACCAGCCATTAATATTTCCAAAGGCAAATTCACACACACACACACAAATGAAAAGTTTGAAAATGGTTTCATCTGTTTAGAATTGATAATATAAGCAGATGTGTCTCTCTTGTGTTTACAGACACTTTAAATGAAAGTAGACTTTAAAGGGACATTGTGTAATGTTTTAAGTATTGTATTAGCTAAAATCAGTCTTCATTCATTGGTGTAAAATTACCTCTGCCAATGATCTGACTTATCCTCCTAAGCAAATAATTTTTTATCTGTATATACATTGGATGGGCAAGTCCATGGAGGCTCGTTCTGCCATTTTGAAAAACTATAATCGCCGAGAGGGACATAAAGCACTAGCCTACTTGTCTAGCTAATCCACAACGCGGTTTCGTTCAGAGCCAGCGTCACGTGACTGAAACCAGAGGCGCTTGTCACTGCCCCGGCACACTTGAAAGTCTGCACTGCACTTTAGTTCATAATGGAGGATCATACTTATGCCGAGCCACAGGAGAAGGAATCCTCGGCGCCGAAAAAGGGAATTAAAAAGGCAACGTGACCGGAGAATTCAAAAAACGAGGGTAAACATCGGGGTAGCTTTTCCCAGGTGGAAAGAGCTAATGAAGGAGAAAGACTTTCAAAGGAACGCTGAAGTTGCCTGCTTTCTCCTCGACAGGTAGGCTTTTTGGTACATAACGGCTACCGTAGTTGCAATACGCATTTGAAAACGCGAGGCACTAGAGAGCACTATTCATTTAATGCAAAATACAATTTCACCGCTAGATGGGAGAAATTCCTACACAATGTCCCTTTAAAGACATTTAAACAATAAGTTGGATGTTGACCTTTGTCTATTAAGGAAATAATTTGAAAATGGAAACTATTTCTCACTTTCTTGCTGAGTTAGTTGAGAAGTACACTGTACACTAAATGAGAAACTAGAGCTAGTAGCTGCTTAGTTTAGCATAAAAACTGGAAGCAGAAGAAGGAAAAGGCTAACTTGGCTTTGTCCAACAACATCTACCTATAAACATGTTTTATTTTGTTTGTATAATCTGTACAAAACAACAAATGGTCTGGTTTTACGGGGGAATACGTGCAGAACTATTTCTTGGTCGGAAACTTTCTGGAATCTCTGCTGGTTGCCTGGAAACAGATTATTGTGTCAGTAGCTACGGAGCTTCTGTGTATTTCCTTTCTACCCTTTACTTCCCCCCGGTGGTGGTATTTTGTTACAATAAAACGTTACTGAGGAGGGAAAATAAAGCTGTCAGAGCTAACAAGCTCGCTAACCATCAGTTAGCTTTCACCCAATCGCTTAAGTTCGCACACATTTTCAAAAGATCTCCATTTCTAACATCAACTCCATTTATATTGTATTTCCCTTATAACTGCAAACCAGTGTTATTTTATAGAACTCTTTACTTGGTCAGAGAATTAGATTTTGCCATGAAATTTAGCCATTTGAAATTCTGCTGTGGGCAGGCCTTTAATGCTAAGCTAACTGATGGCTGGCGATGGCTTCATATTAACTGTAAGTTATATATATAACATATATATCATCATGTTCTCATGTAACCCAAAGGAAATAGGCATATTTCCTAAAATATTGAATTCCTTTAAGTTGAGGTTGCATTCATCCTCTGATTTTGTGGTGGATTTCGTTTGCGTTTATGTTCACAAGATGTTTACATCACACTTATAAACAGGTGATTAACATTCTTATTTAACCTTCATTTTCTCAAGGATCAGGTTATATGTGAAAATAAAGTTCATAAAAGCATGAAAGTCGCTACACATGTACAGTTTGGGGCCCTGAGTGGTTAACATATCACCTCAAATTTGGCACATGTATATCATCTGAACTCTAAGCCATCTTGGTCTCCTTCCAGCAGGCGTCAGGCCAGCAAGTCTCTCCTCTCCTTTTGTCTCTTTGAGACTAGTTGTCAAGGACAGAGCCCTCTCCTGTAAAGTGCTATTAAGATCTCACATACTTATCACATATTACATTTCACAGCTTAGCTTCTGACACACAGTCCATGAGTGGATGGATGGATGAATGCTGAGGGTATAAGCGCCTCAATCAATAGCAGTGACTCATGCCAGAGGGACAGTGGGACGACTGCTACAAATTAGCTTTAAAATGCTGCCAGTACAGCATTTAAAGTGGCAGAACATGTAGCTGGGTCACTGTGGAGGGGGGCAGGTCAGGGAACATACACATTTAATGTCTGTTTTTGTTGAGATGGCGTTTGTGTTTTCGGCGTAAACTACTGTTGACTTTGGCTGAGTAGAGTAAACAGGATATTGAAGATGTCCTTACTGCAAATTGCAGTTGCTGTGTAGCTTGATGGGCCTGTCTCAGTTTCTCTGGGGTGATTCCAAGGATGTCTGCTGTTAGATCAGAGAGCTGCAACGGTCCAGCCTGCAGTAATGGAGCAAAGCTTGTAGCAGGATATAGTCAGATAGCTTCCATTAGCTCTTCAGAGATTCACACATCTTGTTGATGATGATTTTGTATTAGGGAAATATATAGTACAGAGGTTATTGTGTTTGACATCTCTTGAGAGAGGAAAATGCAATTATTCACTACCTTTTAAAAAAATGTTTCCTTTTGAGCCCACATGTTCAGTTTTTATGCCCGACTTAAGCCTTTATGTATGCTGATATCTCTAAAACACAACAAGATTTTCAAGTATCCTTGTTTTACAGTATTTTTTCATTTAAAACGTATGAAGTGCCTGCAACCATGAATGTGCTTATTCAATGATTGAGGCCTTCAATCCCGAGCAGTGCAGTTAAACAGGAAGCTCAGTCTGTCATAATGTTTAAGGCAGTCAGACTTAGACGGGATGTTTACATGTTAACGTATAGTAACACTACAATATCATATTATAATATAAGATTCTAAGAGGCGTTTAGAAGTTAATGTAATAATAACTTAATTGCTAGAATGTGGTATATTTGGCAATTTTAATAGGTTATAAACAAGCTGTCTTGACCACTTACTAGCTTTTTTTCTTTTTGGAGCTTTATAGGATGGAGTTTGCTCAGTTTTCATCTGCTGATGAATACTCAGTAGCATCTATTCCTGTACACCAAGTGAGGAAGACTGTGATGCAGATGAATGCTCTGGGAAAAAAATTGGAAATAGAGTTAAGATTGTTTCATCAAGCTAGCTTAGCTGCTTTCTGCCCACAGTCCAGCTACACGCTGAGGTTTGAAATTGCTCATAAATGTGAATCCGAGTGTCCCTCTATCTGTGTTAGCCTTGTGATGTAGCAGGGACCTGTTGGGGGTGCTTCCCTGTCTCACACCCACAGCATGCTGGGATAGGCTTCGGCCTGTCACAACCAGAAATAGACATAAGCTGTTGAAACAATGGACAACCATGATTGCATTAGTTGATAGAAAGGGGTTCCTTTTCAAAATCCAAAAAGGGATGAATATTTGTCATGATAGATATATTAGTATGGAACACCTGTGCTGTTTTACATTACACTGAATTTAATGTTTGCTGATATGATAATATGTGACTGTACCGTTGAATTGAGAAGGAAGTATATCCTATCTAGCACAGGCAGTAGTGTTGGGCTTTTAGCAAGTTCTTTATTCCAGCCACAGGATCATTGGGAAGTGGACACTATGGAAGTGTTGGGCGCTATCTGCCAGGTATACCAGAACTGGAAGCCACTCTCTGATAGCCGGACCACTCACTCTCATTGAGAGCACTTTGATTTCCTTGCCAGGCTCCTGGGCTCTCCCGGCCTATCTCCTGCCCCGTGGCGTCATGAGCGGCCAGCACTCAGCGGCACTAGCAGGGGAGCAGAGTGTGCAGACAGTCCTGGAGGGAGCAAGTGGGGCCAGAGCTGTCTGACAGCAGGAGGCAGCACAGTGGAGAGGGAGGCAGGTGGTACAGTGTTGGCAGGTGTGTGTGTGTGTGTGTGTGTGTGTGTGTGTGTGTGTCAGTGTGAGATGCCTTTGTCTGACCTTTCTTCTGACTGACAGGCTGTGATGAGTTGATTAACAACCATCAAACATATACAGTACACACACATCTGGTGCCTGATGCTGTGACTTTTCAGTGAACATGTACTTCCAAAAGAAGGGGGTCTTTCTTTTCTTTACATGTTTAGATCTAGTTTAAACCTAGGTTGTTTTTTTTATCTTGATATATATGTGAGATTTATAACTTTGTGGATGTAGGGGCTTCTACTGTGGCAAAATAGCTAGTAAATTATGGGCAGAAAGTAATAAATCTACAGAGGCTTCTTTAATAATCCGCCTTTAAACAGAAAAGTCACACACTAAGTGTCTGACTTCTTTTCAGTTTCCCCTTTAGAAACCATCTGTCCTAATTGTACTAAAAGTCTGGCTGACAAATTTCCCCAAATTCCCCATCAAGAATCATTAATAGAGGAGAATAATGGATTCTAGAAAGATTTAACGGAGATGTTTGAACGGGCGTTGTTCCCTGTCCATACTACAAAGCAATACAAGAGTTTTCAAATGAATTCTCCTAGTGTTGTCACCAAAGTAAGTGACAATTTGTGCCTTTCCGTCATATTAAGATCAACTCAATTTTATATAGTTATCTAGTGCTAACAAAAAAAAACACATGTTCACGTAGAAACCAGCGAGGTGGAGGGAAGTGAAGTCGATCTAAACTTAACTTTCAGTGGGATCGGGAAGCACATTTCTTCAAGAATCAAGTGGTTCATGTAAATTCTTTATAGTCCTCGGTGAATAAACATCAAATTACCGCATATAAGAGAGAACCAGCTGCATACTAAAATACTGACAACTGCACATAAATAGGTTTTTAAAAAAATCACATTTTATAATGAAAGCATTCAAATACTCAACCTATTAATTCACTATTTCACACAAGAAATATGGCAATCTTTTACTGAGTTTGAAGGTTTTTTTTATCTCTTCATAACCAGGCAGATAACCAGATGTTATTAAATCAGTAAGAAGTAAACAATCAATAACAAAGATTCAGAGGCCATTGTAACTCTGACACATTAGCAATAACATCACGACTAACAGAAAGCAGAGGCAGTCACCATCACATGCCTTTATTGCATTAAGAAGTTCTGTTTCTATTAAGAATATGCAAAATTATTAACTAGTAACCTGTTTGTGCTTTTCCAATATGCTAAACCAAATTATTTACCTAAACATAAAGCAGTGGAATCATACTGTATTCAAATACAATTTATTTGTTTTCCTTTTTACATATATTGCAGTGGGATATAACTGACAATGATGTTTGCATTGTGAGGAGCTTGCATTTTTTTTACAGCCACACACACAAAGAATATAATACGTATGTGGAGACTACAATATATGCTAGGCACTAGGTATGCACAGTACATGTTATGGGATGTGACAGTTGTAGAGTGGCTCAATAAAAGAAAATCAGGTCCCTGACACAGAAACGCTTGTACTGCACTGTGTCTGCTTTCACAGACAGTGGCTGCCTGAGATCACCTGTTTGCTTCAAGGGAATTCATGGTTAGTGGTGAAGATCTCAGTGTACATTATTTGACCTACATGTGTCTGTAGTGTCTATAGGATTGTTTTTGGTATTGCTGTTGGATTTGTACTCTGTATTATTGAATGCCATTACACACACTAACAGGTCTGAGATCTGAGAACAAAAGCGAAAGAGTTAAGCTAACAAAAAGAAGGGATGTAAAGGAAATCACAAATATATGCTGAATGACTGTGGTTAGATATTGAATCATTTTGTATTGTATCCTGTAAAATACAGAAACAAATAGTATAAAAAAGTGCATTTTATATTTTTTAGTGTTGGTGTATTGGCCAATAAGAGAAAAATAATCTGAACTCATTAGCATGAATGTACTTGTGTGACAAAAGTTAGCAACACAAAAATCACACCATCGCTCAATCCACATGAACAGCCCTTGTAGGTTAACATTTTAAACACTCTGAATCCCCATGCTTTACTATCATTGATGAACCCACAACACAAAACTGAATAAAAATTGTAATGGAAAATACTTTGAAAAGGTGTAGCATTGAAGACACAAAAAAGGGGATTTACAAAGAAAGTCATAAAAAAAAAAAAAAAAACATGTTGAAAACACAACCTGGTAAATACAGATCCGTTGATGTTGCTGCTGCTGCTGCTGCTGTGTGTGTGGGGGCAAAGACACCTCCTTCCCAAATCCTGGAGGGTGTACTGAAAAAGCAGAGTTGTTGTAGCATTTACATAACATTAAATATGTTTGTAAAGTTGCAAAAAGAGGGAAAAGGGCATTTACAGAGTTCTGGGCAACATGCTAATCAGATGGTCGAGGTAACAGCATAGAAGGGGGAAAAAATCTAACGGACCAGGCTTTGCAAATGGACTGGGGTGTGAGATTAGAAAAATAAATAAACAAATAAAACAAACACAATAGAAACCATGCAGACCTCACAGCAACTGGCACAGGGTTATATACAAACTGTGGGTGGTACTGTGAGCGACTGTAGAAACAGAAGTGATACATCTTTTGTAATGCAAACGGTTTTGTTCTGCTTTAATTATATGCTCAAGTAATATCAGTTCATACCAGCTGATAATATGCATTTTGTCAAAGATTAAAAAGATATTCAGACATTTTCTTTTTCATAATGTCTACAGTTACAGTTAACTAGCCTAAATTAATAAATAGGTTTACATGATGAACACTACGAAATAACAACCATGTCAATAGTATTTGTCATTAAAGAGTGTGTTTTAAATCAGAATATCTCTTATCAAGTTCCTCCAAAAACAGACTTTAAACAAATTCTAAGTGAAGTTTGGTAAAGCCATCCAAAATGTGAAATATTGCATCTTCATTAACGCCTGCAGGATACAACAGAACATCGTCTGCATAAACTCACACTTCTTCAAACAGTTATTGCTTTGTGTGAAAATAAACATCACTTTCAGACAACATGACTGAATGGGTTTAGTGTTATGTTCTCTGATTTGTAAGTTTAGTCAGCGTGAATAATTCAGTCTGTGACATGTCAGTCATATCTTAACATTTTGAAACATTTGCATACCAAACATTACAGGCCTTGAAACTTTGGTTTCACTCTGTTCATTCTTCATCTTTTATTTAAATTGTGGGGTTGTTTAGGATCAGTGCGCTTCAGTTACTAAATATATGCTAGTGATTTGAGTTTAACTATTGACCGTTTTTTTTTGCAATCCATCCTGTTTCTACTTCCTTTCTTTCTCCTTTTGTCTGTCTTCCTCTATTGTGTGCTTTCCAATAGAGTAAAAAATGTCTATAAACTTACTGTCACTGAATGTATTTCCTGTCCTAAGATACTGCCTCAAGGACACAATGTGAAGTTGAGTGAAACACTAGTCTCATAACAAGCCTCTATATGAATTATTTTTGAGCATCCAAATAGGTTCCACAGGGCATAATTTGGGCATAAAACAAAAACACAACAGACCTCAAAAACGCTGTATAAAATTACTTAAGAAACCTTCAACTTTGTCCCATTTGGAACTCTCAATTCAGATAACAATGCAGGAACTGAAAGTAAATATAATGAAAATGCAAAAAAGATCATAGAAGAGGAACTCATCATTGGCACTGTACAATGAAATCCAATCAAAGGAGAATAATAACAGTCCCAAACAGACCTGAGGGATTCCAATTTCCACTCTCATTACTCAGTAATGGTTCAGACATTAGTGAGATGAGGTGAAGAGAATGCCAGGTCCGGGAGGAAAAGGTTCCCTTCCTAATGCTTTTGGACACAAATCAGCGGCATCTGATGAACTCTTATTGAGGCATTAATGACAGAGGCACACTGCAATATAGATCCTACAAAGTACCTGCACTGTCCTTGGCTGTTGATCAAAACAGTAGCGTTTACAGTAGGGTTGAGCTTTGCAGGAGTTTCATTATCAGTATGAATGGACTTTGGCATAGTGACACATTGCCTGACTGCTGCTGCAAGACATGTGTGATTCAGGGTTAGAAAATAATGGATTTATATTTTGATTATGTGAGTGTCAATTGATTTACATTTTAAGTCATATAAAATTCTTTGTCATTAACTGGCAGTGAATTATAATTTATAAGATACAATAAATACTTTCACAAAGTGTGGGATATCACTACTCACATGACTATAGTCCATAACCCCTTACTTTATAAACCAAATCTGCTATTAAGAGGAAGTGCCTTTTATTCAGGTATATTTTTTATTAGATCTTAACTCATTAGTCTTAAAGCTGCATTAATTAATTTTTGGACACTTGGGGGCACACAAACAGCAAACCAATGAAGTTGACATTTAAGCAAACGATTGGCTACTTACACATCCAGCAGTACCATAATAATCCTACTTTCTGGCTAACTGACAGATATATTTGATATTTACTTGCCTTATTATGGTGTAGTCCTGTAGAAGCAGAGTCGGGATTTCTGGCATGACTGCACCTACTTACAAGGTGCATCGAGAAAAGAAAAAGTCTAAACAGGTCAAAACTCCAGCAACACTTGTAGTATAACAACTTTATTTAACTTTACAAGTAGAGTTTTGACCCCTTCATATCTGGTTTATTCTACACCAACTCCTGAAAAAAAATATCTGTCTCTTTAGCTTACAGGCCACAATGTGCAGGCCACACATAGTGGGGTCTGTGGGCTTTAAAGCCAAAACAGTAAGCTTAAAAGGGACTAAAAAGCTCCATGGATATGCAGAGTTAAGCGATCATTCTTCTGTGGGCTCATCACTACAAGCAGCTCCCTTCACATTACCCTTATTCATCTGATTCACTGTTAATACAAAAAAATTGATTAATGCAGCTTTAAATTAAACAAACATGCAGACATTTCCTGTAGAAATCGATGGCTTGGCTGTCCCACAGCTGTAATATCAGTATGAAGGATATTCATTGTCTGTAATCTCAAGATCCTAGTTGCACGCATATTTATCTGTGGGGACTATCAGAGGTGAGGAAGACTTACAAAAGAGGCCAACTAGATTCTGAAAATGCCAGTTTGATTTTTAAATATACTCAATCATCCATTAATATCAATAGTCAAGGAGAAAATATGGCTTCAATTTTTTTTGCAATCCATCCCTCCTTTCTTTCTCCTTTTGTCTGTCTTCCTCTATTGTGTGCTTTCCAATAAAGTAAAAAAATTTCTATAAACTTACTGTCACTGAATGTATTTCCTGTCCTAAGATACTGCCTCCAGGACAAGTTGAGTGAAACACTAGTCTCATAACAAGCCTCTATATTAATTATTTTTGAGCATCCAAATAGGCTCCACAGGGCATAATTTGGGCATAAAACAAAAACACAACAGACCTAACTAAATACTGAAATAAACGCAGTGCTTTTGTTTCTTATTATTGAATATTATCAAATTGTTCCTACAAATTTTGTCCATAAGGATACTTAACTAAATTATTTTACGAAACCACAATTATTATACAGTTTTGAGAATCCCCTTTTACAGCCAGCCTACTGACAAAATGTGGTAGATACAGCAGTTAAACCCCAGTAAAGTGCCAACTTCTGGTATCTGAAGCAGGTCCCTGATTTTCTTTTAGTCCCATCCGACACCAAGTTTGCATTAAATGAGGTGATGAGAGGATAACGAAGCAGATATGTTGTTGACTATGTTATGAAATACAGTAAATAAAGGAGTCGGAGATGGGAAGATGCTACTTTACCACCACTACTATCTGTGCAACTCCTATGTCTGTGAGTAGAAACATCTCAATGCTGCAGATTTAAAAGTCACCATACAGACTTTATTATGTTAAAACAGTCTCCTCTCAGTCTCCCTGCTGCCACTCACTCAACATTCATACATTCGGATAGTCAAACTGGAGCAGATAGAGAGAAAAGGAACAGTAGGAGAAAGAGCAGAAATCCCCCCTGTGTTCCTGCAGTCAAGCCCCTCATTGAGTCACCTGTCAAGAAGATTTCATTGAGATCACAAGTTTGAGGATAGCCTGGATCTTACTTTGATGTGGTCTGTCTCAGGAAGGCTCACTATAGAGTCCTTCTTGGGTCGTCCCGAGTCCCCCAGACCTGTTCCCACACCCCCTACTGCCAGACCTGCACCAGCCCCAAAACCCTGCACAGAACCGGGCAGAGATGCTGCAGGGAAGGCGCCCACAGACATCTGGTGGGGCAGTACCACCCTATGTGGTATTGCACTCCGGATGCCTGTGTGACCTGATGGGGTCTGAGGGGGTCCAATGGACGTGGAGGAGACTCGTGTAGACTGGGGCGGACTAGGGGCACCTGGTTGCAACCCCTCATGAGGCAGTGAGGGCTGAGAGGCTGACAATGCCCTAGCGTCTTGGCTCAGACTGCCCATTTGCAAGGAATGGGTACTCTTATGTGTGCTGGGCCGGTGTGCAGGACTGGCTATGTGTTGCTGGGCAAGAGAAAGCTGGGAGCCTGAGGTGGGACCAGCTAGGCCACTGGATCCATACTGGAATGATCGTCCTACAACTGCCAGCGGGCTCTGGACAGGTGGGCTGGACAGGATAGGAGCAAAGGCACCGGAAGCAAGGAGCTGAGACTGCAGTGGAGAGGCTGAGACAGGGCTGGATACATTTTCCATCACCTGGAATCTCCTCACCATCCTGGGAGACTGCAGGTTTCCTGCTCCCACTGAGTTCCCTTGCATGGGGGGACAAAAGTTCATTGCTACGGCCTGCTGCAGAGTGGCAATTGCTGAATTCTGGGGTTGGGTGGAGGAACCTGGATGAGTAAAGATCCCACCATGTAGAGGAGGTGTCATGGACATGGCCCGCGGTCGTGGTACATCAACTTGCTGGACCATCTCCCGATCATATTTAACTATCTCCTGGATCATCTCATTCTCGCGGTTGTTGAAAACACCCGAGTTCAGATCATGCTGAACTTTGTGCATCAGGATTGAGTTCTTCTTGCCTGCAGTGACATGGAGACAGAAAGTTGCATTGTTGCTGAAGTAGATGCTATTGGTTGCTTAAACAACATTCTTAGTTATAAAAGTAAAGTTTTTTGCCCAGAATTATCCCACTTTCTCTTATTGTCATTTTTTACCAGACGCATAAATAACAAGTTTATCCTTTATTCTATTCCTGGCATCGAGGATATAGTAGCCTATATATGGAACTATCTGTCGTTTTCTCCACCCAATAATTCATCACTGACACACACACTCACACACAGATAGATGGGATGGATAGATAAATAGAGAGCACCTTATATTTTTCACTGATTCTCTGTTATGGGGATAGGCCAGTCTATTTGCAGTCACCTCAGTGCTGACAATGTGAGAGCAAGCATGTCTTTTACCAAACAATTTCTTTATTTGTGCTTCTGTGTCTATGGTTGTACGACCTGTATTTGATTAGATGATGCACGTGTTTGGGGTATGTGTGTACTCGCACATGGCTGGTATTTGGCATGCATTGGTCCTCCAGGAGGAAAGAATAGTTATCTGGATTTAACTCCAGCTCTATGAGCTGTAGTCATATATCAGGCTTCACTTTTACTTAACCCCTCATAGGTATGCAGCACTAGAGATAACTGATGCTCCTTCCATTGAAATAGATGGTAGCATGCCCTACAAAGGAGCAGCAAGCTTACATCTCAGGTCCCCTTAAACTCAAGAAACTGAAAACAAAGGGCCAGCTGAACATTGTCAAAGGAAGTAGTCCCAGTGAGTGGTCTGTGAATCACAATATTCACTGTGCATCTATGAATACTTGTGTGTGATGGGAGATGCTTCCTAGTCGCAGGTCCAAAGAGCCAAACCAGCTCATGTCTGTGCAGAAAGATGAACCATGAGCTACCAGTAGTTTACTGGATTCAGCCGCAGCAGTTCAAACCACAGCTGGATGCATCATAACTGGCCTAATTTTCAGAAACAGATGGGCAGCTGACACAAGGCATCAGCACCTCAGCTGTGACCGTGGTGACAAAAAAAGCAGTTGCTGTATCTGTTGATTAGCACTTTTCTTTGCACTTTTTTAATTGATGGAAAAAAACAGGCATGTGATGTATCACATAACCAGAATCATGGGGGCCTGTTGTGAGGTGGAAAGGATCAACAAGTCATCTATGGACCTCATAATTCCAATCTGCAGGAGCAATGCCAAAAAAATCCACCTCTTCTGATCAAAACTCAGCAGTTTATGCTATCCTGGCAAAACCCCAGTTAACACCATAACTAAAGTGATGACTCATAAAGGCCACACCACCTTAACAACTCACGTGACCTCAACCCCCCAACTTTCATGTGACATCAGGCTGTGAATGACTCAGGGCTATTTTAATGCTTGTGACATCTCACCAGTATGTAAACTCTCAAGACAAAATCACAGTTTCCTCATGACTTTCTGATAGATCAGAGGGCTAGAGGCATAGAGTGGTTTGCTGCACAGCTCAAGGTTAGCTCAGAAACCAGGTGCACATTTGAGAAGAGGTTTTGGGCCCACCCAGGGTCACACAACTGTGCTGAACAACACAAGGAGGTCATAATGGAGCAGGCATAGTGTAATGATAACCCTTGACTCTCACATTTCTCAAAAACATTTCCTATAGACGGAGATAGAGACATCACAGCAGGAAAGTGTGATCTGTCAGGTAATAAGATGAGCGTGTTAGAGACTGTTTTGTCTGAAACTTGGTGAAAGTTGACAAGTTTACAAGTTCCTCCTCTCTGATATAATGACCAGGAAGAGTGATGGAAGAGGTAAACAGAAACATCTCTCTTCTTAATGAAGAGAGAGAAGGAGCCTATTTGGTAAACAATTTTTTCTCACCTGTGAATCAATTGTTTTGACATGTAAAGGGAGGTAACTAATGGCGGGGTGAGGCAGACAAATCTTCAATATGTTTGCTGACAGAGTGCTGCAGGGATGACGTCTTTTTGTAGGCCAACACAGAAGTGTCACACTGGTTCTTTCGACAAAAGCCAATGGCATTTTGGATTATTGCAGAAAAAAGCTCTGTAGCAAACAAAGGTTTATGATACTTACACATTTTGTTCAGCAATATAATCTCTACAAATGAACACCACTTTTATAATTTTTAAAGCATAAATGCAATTGCCAGAAGTAAAAAGTTAATGTTAGCCTATAAACTACACTACACCTATATACTATACTACACCGCGGTCACATGACTTCACCACCGCTTAACTTCCAAGTTGTAATTAAGTCTTGAAATTAAAATCTACAAGTGTACTAGGTTGTTTATGTCGTAGAACAAAATGTGAAAATCTCTATGCTTGTGTGAACCACAGAACTTATTGCAGGCATGTAACCAAAAACCCATTAAAAGGAACCCATTGATTTTGAGGCGAGGAAACCAGAGGTACAAAAATGCTGACTGCAGAACTCTATTAACCGTACCTGAAGATGCTAGAGTTAAGGGGAAAGGGAGAAAGTCCAATCCAGGTGGCGAGCCTCTCGGTGTAGATAAATGGAGCCTTTCCATAACAGTTATAGGATAATGAGAGGATGAAGTAGGAGAAGAAAATATTTTTCCTTGAGAGATATTGTAATGTGTTGGGCTACACCCCCTTTTCATCCAATTTTTACTGGACATTTTGCAGGACGCATGGGGTTGGCAGCTCACCCAGGCTTGCACCCAGCTGATGGGAGGGCTGAAATGTTGAAATATGGAGCAGTCAGCCAACGATGATGATGATGATGATGATGATGATGATGATGATGATGATGATGATGATGATAAAGGCCAGTCAGGTTGGCTCTCTGCTCAACAAGCTCAGCTGGGGGAGAAGGTTGGGATTTCTTATTTGCACCCACATGATCCACCATCTGCTGTATCTTGGGGACGAAGAAAGATTCTCAGGAGATGGGCATGTAGGGAAGTGTGACTGTGGGCAACTTGAGTAGCGCATATTGCTCTTCTGCACTACTGTCACTGGTGATTAGCTTAGTTCTGAGATGCAGCAGGCGGTCTAGAGAGCTGGCAAGCAAGCTAGGTTGTTAGTCAGCACAACAGCCGAGTGATACCCACGAAACAAAGAGGTCTAAAAGGCTGGTGATGAACTTGTTCCTCTCTAATGCAGACAGCTGCCTGGCCAGAAGGAGAAGAATGGGAGGAGGCAGATCCAGACTATGGTGACGACTGTGCCCTCTGAGCATGTTGCACGGATTCCATCTGTGAACCAAAAACACAGTTTGGCAGACAGGGCTTGGTGATGAGGTTCTCTATCAGGCTCTGGAGAGAGGAGGGAGTGGAATCCCCATTCACTGTGCTGCAGCCTGGAAATGCTGGTGGTGATGCTGAGTTCTTCCTCGAGGAGCACCACAAGGTCTTCCTCAAAGAAGGCTAGAAACTGGTTAGAGCAGGATTGTCTGCCTCTGCCTGGTGCCACCAGCCGAGTGGTCAAACAAATTCTACAGGTGATAATGGCACTTAAGGATGAGATGAAAGGGAACAGAGCAACCATCTGATAGGGAGGTAGGCACAGTAGTGCAGAGCCTTACTGGGGGTTATGAAGCCTTAGAGGTAAGAATCCTTTTGAAATGGATGCAGTTAGTGAGCTGAAGCTTCCTCGTTTGCAGAACTCACACATCTGTTGCATCGTTTCTTTCATAACAATGTCTATTCATTATGAAGTAACACCTTAATTCCCCCCCTTAAATCACTGCTCTACAACATCTTCTGCTGATCTTATGTGACACTGTGTTTACACTTTGATGCATTAAGGGTATGAAGACAGGGGACAAGGGATTTACCCCTATCTATGTAGGATTGGCTCACAGGTCCAACACTGTTTTTATGAAAATGTCTGCATGGGTGATGGAGCAAGCCTGGTTGCATCAAAAATATGAGTAATTATGTTCCATCAGGTGGAACTGATCCTAAATAAGCACTCCTGGTCACAGATGCTCAACAAAAAAATCTTAAATGTGACTGAACCGAAACATTTGAGTTTGTTTTTTTAAACAATTGATCTTTGAAGCATTGCATCGCACTAGATTTTAAAATAAGGATCTTATAGAGACACGCCAAACAATCATTCTTTACGCTTAAAATGAACAAAGCTTGAGTGATTACTTGCAAGTCTGTAAGTTCATTTCATATTCTTAACATGGCTTCTTAATCTGAGTGTTTGATCCGGATGTCTTTTTCTGACAAATACTCTTGATAAAGCTAAACAAAAGAACACATTATTAGTGATTAATATTCATCAAAAACAGAGGGAGCCCAATGGGAATATTTGGTTGGTGGAAGGCCCTAAAGCAGACATGTCAGTCTCCCTCCAAATATGTGAGCTGAATGACTGAAGGCTGCTCATGTGTGGAATCTGGCTGCTATGGCAACAGCTGGCAGGTGGCGGATGCAGAGCTTTTGTAAACATGTGAAGTGCGGTCATGTGACAGGGGGATGTGACATCTGCAGCACTGCTGACCTTGGGGGGCAAGAAAAGTAACATGTTTCTTTTTATTTGCTAACAAGGGGCTTCTAAGACTTCACTGGGATAAAGCAGTCTCTGTGAATGTTTGTATGTGTGTGTGTGTGTGTGTGATTATGCATTTGAACCAAAGATGTTAAACCCAGGTCACTGCTGAGCAATTAATTTTTTTCAATCAGCAAATTAAGAGACAACAAAGGTAAAAAAAAAAAAAAAAAAACTCACATTGCTCAGCAGTTTCTGACATGATACCCACAAGTTTCAATATATGTTAAATAACATTTCCAAAATGGCATATATGCACAGAAAAAACATTCAATTGCTGGGATAAATTTACATATAAAATGATTCACAGCCATGAATATATTTTCAGCCTCGACTCCTTCCCCCAACACACACATTGTGTGGATCATCCATACAGTACATTACAGCTGTCAGATAGTGCAGTGTTTTGACAAAGACATCACATTAATGAATGAATACATTTTCCTTATGCTTGATTTCATCTTATGAATGGCTCATACAGTATGCTTATGCAGATACCATACCTGTCACTTTTATTTTTAGTGAAGCGTAATGCCAATTACTCATGACTAAACCTCCAAGACACGTTTCATATATTAGGTCTGGATGGAAAGATTGATTTGTTACATTTTTGTATTTACTGTAGATTTACAATAAAGGGATAGAAATTAAAAGCCACGTGGACTCACGTGTGCTTATTGAGAGATTTGATGACTTGTCTGTGAGACTGAAACCAAATCTCCATGGTTTGGATAGGCATGTGTTTATAAGACAACTTTAAGCTACCATAAAAACACTTTAGCTATAAGATGTCCACATTTATCAGTGTATAAATGTACCTAACATTGTGTTGGATGGGCAAAGTGAAAACAAGTAATGAGAAAATTGCTTGGCATGACCGAAAACTGGGAATAATAATAATAATAGTTTAAAAAGGCGCTGTTCACTTCTACCCAAATTAAGAAAAAAAAAAAAAAGATCCAAAATAAATCTTTGGGACTAATACTGACCAGTTATACAAAGGTTTGGACATCTTTACACACCAATGAACACTACGTTAAACTGTAATTTATTGTTAAACCATATCAAATGAAAGCAACTGGTGGAGTTTTTGTTGAACCAGGTGGCAGTCTTACCTATCCTGTCCAATCTGTCAATGGCAACTGTCTCAAAGGCCCTCCTCATCATGGGATACTCCTCCAGCACCTCATTGAAATTGTCCACTGAGAGAGAGTACAGGCGACAGTAGGTGTCTGCTCGCACACTGGCCGTCCGTCTGCCACGGGTCAGCAGGCAGATCTCTGATGGGGTGAAAGAGAGACCAGACAGGAGACAGTCAGATCACAAGATGGCAGACTGACATATTTCCGGGTGTCATGCTGTGACAGAGAAAAGAACAGAGATGCTACAAATGAGGAGAGATTTGTCAAGCAGTCTGAAAATGGTACCCTGCTATTAGACTATTACAAAACAACATGCACAAAAGATCTTTTATTGAAGACGATTAAAATTTTTGCAGCTTGAAGTCTTGTCAGGAAGTTCTTGGTTTGTAGCCTGAGCTGATGTCCATATGCATCAATACTACTACAAGTGAGTAATTCATACCACCTTAAGCCAAACATTCACTCTAAATATCACTTTAGGATACTGTATGTGCAATAAGTTTGATTATTTTCCATACACTTTGGCCCAAACGTTCAGGGTCAGGGTTATTTTAGTCATTTAAATATTTGGATTCATCAAGCTTTTGAAAGTCTGGGCTGAAACTCCAGGCCTTAAACAAATGTGTGCTCAGAATGAAATTGGTTTTTGCATGCAGTGGCTGTGTGTAGTCAGTCTGACCCACTGACAGAAAAACAGAGTATTTCCTCCAGCACTGACAGCTGTGTGAAGGACGCACACTCTATATTTGGAGATGTGCAGCTAAGCTTCATTACATTCAGTTGTTCGCCTCCCTTTCCCCCAGTATCTTCTTCTCTCTAGCTTTTTTTATGGGCTGGGGCTGACTGTTGTCTTGACAACCATATGCCCTTCTTTCCCCCCACCTAAAAGGTCAACCTCCTCTGACTCTCTGTGGGAAAGGGAGAAAAATAACGAAACACAAGGAGACTCCATTAGGAGGATGCATAGGGGCACTGAAATGGACTGTTACTGAGTGTTTGTGACTGTGGTGTCTCCAGCAGCAAGCCTGACGCTTCAGAAACCGAATAAACCAGGAGGGCTTCAAGAAAAACTGAAGACACACAAACCTATGCATATCATTTCAAAGCATAAATATATATATATATAAATATATGTATATATATCAGTCTTTATACTAAGCTAAGCTAACTGGCTGCTGGTTCTAGCGTCCTATTTACTGCACAGACATGAACTTGGTATCGATATTATCTAATCTCATCTAAAGCTTGAAGAAAATCTCTTAACTATTCTTTTGAGGCAGAAAAATAGTAAAATCAGCCATAATGGCAGGATCTAGGCATGGGGTTCCCAAACTTTTTCATGTCTTGGACCCCCACAATAGATGCACATTAGACTACAGAGCCCCAATTTGAGTAGCTTTTGTCTTAAGGAATCTCCTTAAGTATTTTTTATTTTATTTTTAGGTTTGAAGATAATAAAGTTTTCATAGTCAATCAATGATCAAACTGGGATCACTATAAATTACAATCAATCTTAACAGCCAAGCCTAATTCTTCCCTTGTTCCAACCTCCAAAAACTGTGAAAATCATTTATTTCTGCTGGGGATCCCGACAACCCCCTCAAGGACCCCGTTTGATTCCCGGAAAACCCCTGATCTACGCCTCAACTGCCGGATGTTTTCAGGGTTTCTTCCCTTGCATATAAACACTCAGACTGTCTGTATACAACAGATGCATACTGTACGTACAGTACATTCACATACACTGACACGCACTCACTGTCTATGAGTCAGGATACAGTAGCTTTTTATTCAGAGGTTATTTAAATGTGACCTTGGGCATGACCATGTTTTTTGCCTATTTGATAAAGGATTTATATATCCTCAGTAGATTAATGATTAATAGCCTCTGCAGAGAGACACTCTACAGCTTAATGGAAGTAAAAGCTGTTGGATGTAAAGCTCTTTAGACACAACACACAACTACAACATGTAGTCATAGTATTACTCAGGAATTTGTTGATTCTGAATTTAAAGCATAGTCAAATTAGCTAAATGTCAGTGTAAAGACATACTGAGTAACAAGTTTATACATTTTCTTTTTTGCCTGAGTTCTGTCTAGTCATGTTCGAGGAAGTTTTAAGCGTTACAGATTCAATAGTTTGGTTAGATTGGTGGAAAAATCCAAAAGATGCCCCAGATGTCCTTTCATAAATTGTCACTTAGGACCTTCCTTGTTATGCATAACACAACCATCTGCATTTTGCTTGTATCATTAGTGGGAAGGGCTGGGAGAGGATAACTAATGAAACCATCGGGGCTGCATTAAAAAGCTGTTCAAACCACTGGGTAACCATTTATAGCTTGTGGATGGGACAACTTTCATCCTCAAATATCATTAAAAATACAGAGAAATCCAGGATGGGTACAGTGAATTTTAGCAGTGATTTGAATATTCCAGGCACTGTGTGCAATAATGACTGACCTTTAACCTCAGATACACTGTTTCCTGTTCCCATTAGTAGAAACTATAATTTCCTAAATTCTCTTCTCTCTTCTACAGTTTTATTGCTTGATATGTTCCCAGTGAAACTCCTCCTGTTTCTGGTACCCATATAAACATATTTTCTCCCTTGTTCAGAAAATGTATGCCAGTTCATAGATAATCAGTTATCTACATAAGCTGCTCCATCTGCAGTATTATAAATATAAATTATTTTAATTACAAGACACAAAAGTGACTTTGAGGCAACATATTTCGAAAGCTTTGGCAGTTCAGACTAGTCACAACAGCAGTAACACAAACCTCCGCAGACTAACAGTCAGCTAGTGAATATGCAACTCTACAAAACTCAGTTCCCAATATTGTTACCAAATCCAATTTAGGCAAGCATAAAACAGTTATTTAATGAACAAATGGTAAGTGATGGATGAACAAGGGGTACATTATTACGTTATTCCAGATAGCAGCTTCTAAAGAAATAGCCAAAAGCTGCAGACTCAGCTGCATTTACAGCCATAGAAAATAGTATGCAAAGCTCTGCCTCGTTTCTAAATGTATTAATACAATAATGGAACCGATCCAGCCAAGGTTTACTAATGAGGAATGTTGCCAGTAGTACAGGCCAAGAAATCTAAATGACAGGAGACACAGTATTGCTTTTCTGTAGCATGTGTAACATTTATCAACACTCTTTGTCTGACTCTTAATGTTTTTAACCACTAATCTTAATACATTCTATAAATATAAATTGGAACAAAGTCACGTTTGGCCTGACATCACTATGTACTTCGTGCTACTAACTAATTGAGAGATTTTACCATAAATACACACAGCACTGCACCACCCTGCTGTGGTTAAACCATGTTGTCCCTCCAGTCCAAGCTCATGAAGAGACCTGTGATTTCCTCCCTGAAGGCAGGAAGGACTATTACAAATGGTGCCCATCATCACCGTTGTGCTGTGCTAATTAGCTGTTATTAATTGGATGAGTGTATGTGTGATGTGTACGTGCGTGTGTGTGTCTTTACCACTCCAACAGTGCCCTTTGGCTGCTGGCACATCAACATTACTGTCGATGAACTGCGGTCGCTCCAGAGGGCACCGGATGTTAAAAATGCAGCCCAAACCATCAACCCACAAGACTTAAAACTGTGTGTGTGTGTGTGTGTGTGTGTGTGTGTGTGTGTGTGTGTGTGTGTGTGTGTGTGTGTGTGTGTGTGTGTGTGTGTGTGTGTGTTTGTGCACGCCTGTGTGGGTTTATGGGTGGCGATAGCAGCAAAGGCACCACAGGTTTTTAAACAGCCACAGAAAAACAACAGCCTGAGAAAGTGGGAACAGAAGTTAGCTGTGAGGCAGGACTGCACAAAAAGTCCAAGCAGAATGTCAGGGTGCTGTTTTATTCCCTTTATCTGTTTGTTGCTACAATATTCTTATTTAAATAGTAAAGCCATTTGTGATATTACTGTAGTGGATTATATTTGAATGTAGCGGATTTCGAAGTGTAAACAGAGTGTGAATGCCTGCAAGCATTGAATAAAATAATATATTATATTATATTATGTTCTACCCTATTCTTTATGAGGTGTTATGTTCCTTTCCATGTTGTTCTATTCTGGTCTGTTATGTTATGATTTGTTATGTTCTACTCTACTCATTTCTATTCAATCCTATTATTCTGTTCCATTGTGTTAAGAACAGAATAAAATGGAATATAGTAGTAGAAGAGAGAAGAATATAACTGTTCTATCCTATCATTCTATTATATTAAACTTCTTTCTGTTATGTTAAATGAAGTTCAATCCTGCTCTGTTTTAGTTTTCTATTATGTTGTTATAAACAGAACATAAAGAATAATAAGATAGAACAGAACACAATAGAATAGAGCAGTAACCGATGATCCTAAGATGACAAAGACAGTGACATACCTCCAAAGTACGACCCGTCCATCAGCTTCATGCCGATGCTTCCTTTGGTGAGGACGGTGACCACCCCGTGCTGGATGAAGTACATCTTCTTGCCGATGGTGCCCTCTCTGACGATGTAGTCTTTGGGCTGGAAGACTTCAAATCTCAGTTTGGTCAGCATGGCTGTCACAAAGTTGGGATCAGCATTGGCAAACAGCGGCATGGAGGCCACCAGCTTACGGCAGTTGAAGTTGACGATTTCCTAAATGGTAACAGGAAACGGCGTTGGATCATAATGTTGTATTGGATGTCATAAGACTGTCTGTCTCAGTTTGTGTTTTCATGCAGTATTGCAGCCTTGTTAAATAGTTACACTGCAACAATTCCAACAGACAGTTGTGAAAAATATGTGCTGAGATTTAGCTTTAATTATTTTGGGGGTGTTCTGCATTGGCATTTCAGGACAACTTCTGATTATTTTTTTCATGATTCAGTTCATTATTTTCCGTTTTCTCTTTGAAAAAATGAAAAGTTATGACTGTTTACTCTAAAAATCAGGTTAATAAAAACCTCATATCCAGAGCAAACATTCCTGGTGAACCATTTTTGTTTATTTGCCTTGAGGGACACTGGCACAGCTCATTTGAGTATTCTCCCTATTTTTCTCTTCATTTTCTGTTACCTGAAGCATACTTTGAGTGTCTTTGAAGCAAGTGGACCTTGTTTACTCTCTACTGGAGTAAACATGGAGTTTCTGTTGGCAGCAAGAAAAACTTTTCTGTTTCTTTCTTTTAAAATTCAGTAAAAAACTGGTAAAAAAAAAAGTTCAGGTGACTACCTAGCAGTTAATAAATAAATCAATACAGAGAGTTCTGGAAATGACATTTTTAACTACCAGGTTATGTGTTTTTTTGTGCAGAAGGAGACTATAGCTGTTGTAATCAATTTATTCTGGTCCACTTACTCTGTGGGAGAGCTGAGAAGTGTGTGTATTTGTGGGTGAATGAGCAAGTGGATGCTTGGGTGTTTTCATACCTCGCGCAGAGGCTCATTAAGCTCCTCCAGGATGCTCTCTTCATCAAACATCTTGCCCTGGTATCTGTGCTCATAGTAGTCATGGATTTTCTGTCGGAAGTCAGCCGGTAGTTTGTGGAACGACATGTACTGCTCCACTTGTTTGTACTGGAGAATGGAGAGATAGTAGTGAGGAGAAACAGAAGCACGAATCAATGAAAACAGCACTCAGCAGCTCTTTTGTTAATTGTGACAAGAAGAAGTTTAAGAAGTCTTATACTGCAGCGTCATGGCGATCTCACAGCAGCTGTGGGGATGCCGTGTGTTTCTCATTTATGCTCAAAAGGTTTTCTGTCTGTCTCATCATCAGCTATAGCTCGTTCATGTCTGCAGGTTTTGAGACATACAGATTTGCAGACATGAAGATCCTGTGATCCACTTTTTCCTTGGAGCTATGAGAGGAAAGCTGTGATGAAGCTGTTAAGGAAACATGACAGCTCTGTTAAGCCCACGAGGATTCATTACGCTCTACTGTGTCTACAGAAGAAAGATGCTGCTATTGTACATCTTATCCACAGTGAGTCTCTCTCTGTCTCTCTCTGTCTCTGGTGGTCTTGGTGTACAAAATGCTTTATTTTGAAGGGACAAATCTACAAAAAAAATATTATCAGGCTTTGGGGAAATGTGTCTATTGTTGTTTTTTATTTTCATGAGAAAAAATATATGAACTCTTCCATGATCTATGAAGACCAGAAAAAAAAATACAGGTAAATAATTAAATGGAACTAGTGGGCATTTGTGTACCCGTGTTACTATTCTGAGAAAGGAAGATGTTTGTTATTTATGTTGGAATTGATAAATATGTAACTGTGTAGCTAGCAAAAAAATAAAATAAAATTGCTGAAAATGTTAGTTGGCTGCAGCACATTGTGTTTGCTCACCCACGTGATTCACACCATCACATTTTTACCACTGTTATCTACATTAAATGCAGCCTGAATGTCCACTTCTCTCAACTCATTATAATGCTCCATAACACATTTCATGCCTGGATTCCCTGTGAAAATAGCAGCTGCTATAGCTTCTCTCACTGTACACAAAATGGCTCTTGGGTTTGTTTTATTTATACCAGGAAGATGGTATGTGGTTCGCATGTCACCATCTTCCTGTAAAAAAAAAAATATATATATACTGTGTATACATATAGGCCTATATACCCTTACATTCACACACAACAACATCTTGAGGGTGAAAGAGTGGCCGAATAACTTGAGAACTGTTCACTTCCTGTTATATTATTATAAAAAACAAACAACAAAAAGAAAACCTTGCAAGCTGTAATATAAAATATGAATGAAAATAATCTTTTCATTAACCCCAAGACAGAAACACTGTTTTAAAACTGATCAATACTGTGCATTCTTGTGGCCCTGTTGTTTGAATGGCTTTTAAATGTTACATAAGGTATCCATACTGTGTGTGTGTGTGTGTGTGTGTGTGTTTGTGTGTGTGTGTGTTAAGCAGCATGAGTCATCCCACTGTGGAATAAATTGCCAAATATATGAGTAGTAGATTTCAAGCAGAGGAGCTAGGGAGAACCTTCCACGTCCAACGCCACACTGGTGGTGAATGGAAACGACCTAAAAGTGAGCAATACAGATAAAATCCTCGATCACAATACATCTATTTTACTTTGTGATATCAATATACATCATGGCATTGTGCATTTTCTGGAAAATTCATCGCACTGATAATATATTCTATACATTTCTACCACATTATAACGTGTCTTGTATGTTGTCTTGCAGTTTATATGCAGTGTTGGGTAGTGACGCATTACTTCGTAACGTGTTACGGTGGTGTCGTGACTTTTTACAGTAATGACCAGTGTAAGGGGATTACAATTTGACATTCAGTAATTACATAACAATTATTAATCCCAGTAATTCTCTGTGACTTTGACCATTTTTGAGTCGGCTCATTGATTGTTTTACCGGTTCTGTGTATTCAGTGGACCGACTGGTCCAGGACGTGTTAGCTTGGGGCACAGAGGTACAGGAGGATGTTCTACCAAAGGAGGAGAAAGCTGTCTTATTTACATGTTGAGTCTTCTTAGCTGGCAAGTCAACATTAAGGTTGAGAGGGTTAGAGTTGTTTAAAGTCACCTTTAATGGAGCTGGGCGGACGCACCTATTTAATTTTAGACAATGTATTGACTGAGGTGTAGAAATAGTGCAGTATATATAACAGAAGATGATCTCTAGCTGCCTCTGTGATACATGTATCAAGAGGAATCCAATTCTTTAATCATCTAGAGTGCCGATACCTTCCTGCTTGTGAGTCTTGACCACACAGTCACGAAGGACACAACACGTATGGAGGACTGTGGGGGGCACTGACAATGACCTTGCCTGTAACAGTCGATGACATGCATGGGATAGGATGGCTCGCTGTCCAGGAAATTGCATTTTGTCACACTGTAAGGTGACATGGGTTAGAGAAGAAAATGCAGGCTTGACCCTGGTGGAGTTGGTGACACGACAAATCACAATATCCTTAATAGAGCACAGACTGGCTGACATGGTAGCACATCATTCATTTTGTTTTTCTACAGGAGGATTTTCTTTCCATAATTTAAAGCAGAGAGTGGTTTTTATGAAAGGGAAAAAAAAAACTGGTTTATGTAAGAATTGCAATGTCGGTGGAAGAAAGTGATTTGTTTTTAATTTTGTCCTCTATTTGTTCTTCAGTGTGATGTATATACTGCAGAAATAAATACTACATACACATTGATACAGTTCAGCATGACCTTATACGTGACAAAATGAAAATCCGAGTGGATCACTTACTTTAATGAACCCGCTTATGACACTACATCTGCAAAAACAATTTATTGCATCCTTTTCTTTCTTACGTAAACCAATTTTAATCTCAATCTCATTTAGTCTTAATTAATTGTCTCAGGACATGGTTCATTTAGCATGAAAAGCCATGGCAGTGCTAAATGAAAACCTTACAGCGCGTCATCCTCAGCCATCTTTTCAGATTTCCAACTCACCTGGAAAGTAGATATATAATCCAGACAACAACAATCTGAATTGTTTAGGACATAAGAGGGGATTCCCTGAAATGAATGTACTCCCAACCAATAAAACAATAAAAGGACTAAGGCCATTTCGCCTAAACTTGACACATTTCTCCCTATTTGGCATGTGTCAGTAACAATAAACAAGCAGCCGACTTTCAGAGAATCCAGCTCATTCAATCAAGCGTGGGAATAAACTGGGAGGCTCCTATTAAGTGTTTCCTGCCTCGGGATTCAGTGTGTGGCAGTCTCAATTAAACTGAAATGACAACTCTCTCTCTCTCTCGTTCCCTCTCTTCTTTAAAAGTGGTTGTTGAAAGAGCAGAGTTTTATTAACTACATCACTACAATGATGTAGTTATAGGGAAGCTGAGAGGGACATATCAAGAAATGTGTTTTGGAAATCCATTATGCATACTGTGTTGCTATGTGGCCATGTTTGTTTTGATGTTTAAGAAAAAAATAAAGGGGAAGATGGGAGAGAAGACATTGAACTGTCAGTTAATGCTCTGACTCGGAAACACATTAAAGACATAGATAGAACCTGTATATAAGATCAAATGCCCATTTTTATTGCTAATACACATCATCAAGAAGGCAAGTTTACAAAATCTTAAAAATACTCTCTAAGTTCCATTCATTTCAACACAGGCAAACATACACATGCCGGACAGCTAAGATTCTCCTAAACTGTAAATGCAGTGTCCGTCTTATAAAATCAAACTTTGTGGTACTTGTATAAACTAACAAATGAATTACATTTCTCAAATCCAATCCGTTCCTCTCAGCCTGTGGACTTAGTTAAAGGGGGTTGGGTGAGGACGGGGCAAGGCAGCACAGAGGTTTTTTATGGGACATAAAGCTCCTAGTTGGTGGCTTGCGAGCATGATGCATGGCTGTCACTGTAAGCTGCCACAGAGGGAAGGAAGAAATTGAATTGGGCCTCCTGTTAATGGGCCATGTCACTGAGCGTCAGGGCTCAGGATGTGACAAGTCTTATATCTGTGTGTGTGTGTGTGTGTGTGTGTGTGTGTGTGTGTGTGTGTGTGTGTGTGTGTGTGTGTGTAAAAAACCCAAATTGACTTCAGCAGCCTCCTTTAGCTCATTGACTACGAGGAGCGGAGACAGACCCACAGAAACAAACACACAAATGTGCACACAAACCCCTCAGGCACACACAAGTATGAGCGCATACACTCACTACACTACCAATGTGTGTGGTGATGATGACATGGAGGGACTGAAATAAACATGTCAGAAGAGACGAGGTTCACAGTGTTCATGTTATAAAATGTGTGATGTAAGTCAGCAAGTTTTTTTTAAAACTTGTATCCTGATTTCATTATTCACCAATATATTTCTATTAGACATTTGCTCTCTTCAAGAAGTGCACTCATGTCATGAAACCAGGTTAAAGCCATCGTCAAACATTGATTTATTTTCATATATATAAACCAAAAATAAAAGAGAAAATGTGGACGATCATTTCAAATAAATATAAGGTGAAGTTGAGCATGAAACTACACTCTTCTCTCTGTATGAGTCTTTCCATCAACCATGAGATGTTGTTGAAAGCTCAAGAAAAATCAAGTAAGTGGACCTTGATTTCAATTTTATTTTTTCTCAAACTCAAGCTGATGTGTCTAATCTATCAAATCAAAGTGCCAGAGACCCAGGTAGCCCAGGTCAGGTCATCGTCCAAGTTATGAAGTCGCTGTTTGATTGTGTCAAGGCCCAGGGGCTCTGTGCTCATCACCGGAGGCCCCAGGGGTCACATCCCCCTCCTCTCACCACTACTCGGACACGCTGCTCTATGGCTCTTAAGGGGGAGGAAGTGATGAGGAGGAGGAGCAGGAGTGCAGTTACATAATGGCTAATGCCCTCTGTCCATGTGCGGTGTCCGCTGGCAGATGGTGTATTGCCCAACAGTCAAGGGCGAATGGACAGATGAAGCAGGGGAGGGCTGGAGATGGGAAAAGTGTTGTGGAGAAACACGGGATGAGGGCATCAGTGAACTCAACCTGAAGGAGGGGATGACAAGGGATGACTCACGCAAGCCACCTCTTAAACACTGGCCACATCA